GGAGTGCAGTGGCACACTCCCAGCCACTGCAGCCTCGACCTGCTGGGCTCTGGCGATCCTTCCGCCTCAGCCTTCCGAGTAGCTGGAACTACAGGCGCGCGCTACCATGCCCGGCTAATTTTTGATTTATTGTGGAGATGAAGTCTCGCCAAGTTGCCCAGCTGGGTCTTGAACCCACAGGCTCAGACAATTCACTCACTTCAGCCTCCCAAAGCACGGGATTACAGGCTGAACCACCAAGCCCGGCTTTTTATTTTTATTTTTAATTTATTGTAGAGACAAGGTCTCGCCAAGTTGCCCAGATTGGTCTCAAACCCACGGGCTCAGGCAGTCCACTCATCTCGGCCTCCCAAAGTGCTGGGATTACAGGCTGAGCCACCAAGCCCAGCCAGTAGCAGCATTTTCAAATGGGGGCTGAGTCAGCGGACAGGGCAGGAAGGGAGCTGGCAGGGGCTAGTGGTGAGAGGACAGGGGGTGAGAGGCCCCGGGAGAAAGGCCCGGGGAGAAATCCAGAGGAGCTGTGGATGTGCTGGAGGCGAGAACACCTATTCAGCAGCAATGACATAACTAAGTGAGGCTGTAGCAGCGGTGGCCATCGCTTGCTGAATCCTCACCAGGCAACAACCCCATGTATGCTAACCCATTCCACCCTGTGACAGCCTATGCCTTTGAAATGACTACCCCCATTTTACAGATGAGGAGAATGAGGTGCAGAAAGGTCGAGCAGGTTGCCCAAGGGCACCATCGCAAGAGACAGATCCTAGACTTGCACCCTGGCTTCTCTGTCTCTAGAGCCCACCCTGCCTCCCGGATGTCAGCTACCAGCGGGCCCTCCGTTCTTGTCCACTTCTCACAAAGGCTCTTGTCTTTTCAGGGTGAGCCGGGGGAGTGCTCCTGCCCCTCTCGAGGAGACCCCATCTTCTCTGGCATGCCGGTGAGTGGTGCTGAGAGCCTTCTCCCCAGCCTCGCCTGGTGCCCCATGTGCAAGGGCCCTGCAGGGCTTTGCACCCCAGCCAGCCGCCTCCCCACGCAGCCCTGCGCTTGGTGTGGACGTTGCCTATAACCTCTCCCCTTCTTTTGCGACCCCCACTCCCACCCAGGGTGCTCCGGGACTTTGGATGGGCAGCTCCTGGCAGCCGGGCCCGCAGGTGTGTGTCGCTTGTCTCCTCTGTCTCTCTTGTCCGCCTGCGCCCCGCGGCTTGCCCACCCTACACCGCTGCCCCTGGCCATGGGGCAGAGCTCCTTCAGGCTCTGATCCCTCTTCCCCTCCCTCAGGGTCCCCCAGGTGTTCCCGGACCACCAGGCCCCCCTGGAGTACCTGGGCTGCAGGTAAAGGGGGAGGAGAGAATGAGGTATTTGGGGGGCAGGGCTCATGCAGTCAGGGTGGCTGCCCTGTCCTGGACCCCAAGGGCACTACTCACATGTCCTGCCCCAGTCACATCCACATGTCATTTCTCAGTCCCCTGTGCACCTGCTTCCCGGGGTGGCATGGAGGGCCCACTGATCCTCTAGGCCAGGCTGTGTGCCCTTACTGCTCCTTTTCAAGGAATGCCCTGCCGTGTCAGCTGTCAGAAACCCAGAATCTGGGTCAGATAAAAATCTCTAGCCGGGCTCAGCCTGTAATCCCGTGCTTTGGGAGGCTGAGGTGACTGGATTACCTGAGCCCGCGGGTTCGAGACCCGCCTGGGCAACTTGGCAAGACCTCATCTCTACAATAAAAAAATTTAAAAAATTGGCCAGGCGTGGTAGCGCGTGCCTGTAGTTCCAGCTACTCGGAAGGCTGAGGCGGAAGGATCACCAGAGCCCAGCAGGTCGAGCTGCGGTGGCCGGGAGCGTGCCACTGCACTCTGGTCTGGGCGACAGAGTGAGACTCCAACTAAAAAAAAAAAAAAATCCCTGACACTGGTGCAGAGCCCTACCGTTTTGGAGCAGCATTCAACATCCTTCCATACAACACATGTTTTTGCACATATGCGATTTTCCAGGTACCGTTTTAGGTGCTGGGGATACAGCACTGGGCAAAAATAGGACTCTCTGCCTCTTAGAGCTAGCATTCTAGGAGAAGAGACAGACAATAGCAAGATAAATAAAGTGCAGTATGTTAGAAAGTGATATATGCTAAGGAGAAAGATAAAGCAGGGAGTGGGGATGGAAAATGGGAGGGGGCAGGGAAGATACTTGAGAAAGGGGCTGAAAAGAAGGCAATGTTTGAGTCAAAACTGCAAGGGGAGTGAGGAGGGAGCCAGCATCAGAAAGCATCAGGTGCAAAGGTTCAGAGGTGGGGATGTGCCTGACGTGTTTGGAGGATCACAAGAGGCCAAACTCAGTGAGGGGGGAGTATTTGGAGTCTGTGTGGCATTGTGGTTAGGGGTGCATTTCAGAGCCAGGCAGCCTGAACTGGAGTCCCAACTCTGCCATGCTCTAGCTGGGTGGTGCTAGGCAAGTTCCTTAACCTCTCTGTGCCTCACTGCCTTCATCTATCAAGTGCAACTACTTTGTAGGGCTTTTTTGTGAGCATTGAACAGGTTAAGTGTATTGAATTGTGCCTGGCATATAATACATGCTTTGGAGGCATTAGCTATCCTTACCATTACAGTGATGATGACCGCTGTTATTATTTTACATTCATTCTCTCACTCATTTGAGCCCTATTTCAACCCCACAAGGAAGGCGGTGTTATCCCTCAGTCACAGTTGGACAAGCTGAGGCTCTGAGAGCTGGAGGATCTTGTCCAAGGTCACCCGACTGGGAATTGGCAGCACTGGGCTGGGGCTTCCCCGTGCAGAGCACCCTGTGCTCTCTTCCACTGCCTCTCAGGACCGTCCCCCAGTGGTTTGCATGCCAGTTCACATTTTCTGGAGGCACAGACAGCACCTTTCCCTGTGTATGGCTCCCAGCTCCCAAAAGAGGGATTCTTACCTGAAGAAGCAGGGCAGAATCACATGGACGCTCCTTACAAGCTACTCCTCCCTGCCCCAGTGATTTGATACATTTCGTCTCTCTCCTCCCTGCACCCCACCTTCCTCTGCCACCTGGGGCTGGGGATCTGCTTTGGGAAGTCTCTACCAGGATCCCAGTTCTCTCTGTCCCATCAGAAGTGCGGAACTAGAGCCCACGCCACACATTGGCAGCCACGCATTTGCCGAGTGTTCTGGACTTCCTGCCCCACTGCCAGGAAGCAGGAGTCTGTCTGCAGAAGGCTTGCAGTTTGCTTGGGGGAACTGTGAAAGTCATTTCAAAGTGACCCTTTAACGAACAAAAGCCAATGTAGTGTGAACCCTGCGAAGACATGCTGGCGGACTGAGGTAGAAAAGAGTGACCGCAGAGTCTTGTGCCAGGGCCTGAGACCGAGCCGAGGCTGCCACTAACAGGCTCCTGCCCTGCGCAGCTCCTGTCTCCAGATGCAGAAACAGGTTCTGGGAGGTACAGCATTTACTCACCCAAGGCTGTATCTTCCCGATGCAGGATTATCTTAGATCAAACCCCTCCATTTCACAGATGAGGAAACCGAGGCACTGAGGTTAAGACATGTGCCTGAAGTTATATGGCCAGTAGATCATTGAGCCTAGGTTTAAGCTCGGCTGCATTCTTCGCTTCCATAGTAGGACAACAGGTGGAATGTTCAGTTCTGGGGGCGGGGCAAGAAAATAATCAAACTATCAGGCTTGAACTAACACATTGGCAGTGAAGAATAGAGCAGGGGTGGATAATAATTTAAGAGCATAATCCTGAACACGCATAAGCATTTTCCCTGTGCCAGGCACGGCTCTCAGCCCTAAAGGCGAGTGCTAGAGAGGACTGGGTGGAGGCTGACTGTAGGTCTGACCCAGGTCTGGTGGATCCTGCCCTGAAATTGGGAGGGCTGCTGGGGGCAGGCGATGTGTTCCGTTGCTGGGAGCTGGGGCTTGAAGGGAGGCCAGCTCTCAGAGTGCGCCAAGGAAATCCTGTGCAGGGAGGAACAAGCAGCGCAGCGGTGCATTCACTCAACACGTACTTAAGCGCACCTCCTCCATGTCGGGCGCTGGGGATTCAAAACGGAACATGCTCCCTGCGTCCATGGAGTATTTAATATGCAAATGTGCCTTGTGAATCTGAAAGGGGAACAGAGAATCTGGATGGCACGCATTTAACGTGAACATTTAACGTGGATATCCTTATAGCCATTGTCTCCTTGAAGCCCAGCCATAAACTATCCCTGTTTTATAGATAAGGAAACTGAGGTGCACTTGCCAGAAGTCACACAGGTAGTTGGGATTTGCATCTGGATGGGACTAATTGTCAAGCACCCACCCTTGCTGTGTACATGAATGTTCTAGGAATATTTTGAGGAGCGATGCTGAAATTGTGGCTAGGAGAGGTTTTAAGACAGAGAAAACCTCACCTAGCTCACCAAGATAACTATGATGATTAAATGAGAAAATATAGAAAAGTTACATAACACATAAACAATGATCACTATAGGAAAGACCCTCTGCCCAATTTCTGACCTTCCTCTGACATGCAGGGAAAATACTCCCTGTCGGACTGGTTTTGGGGGTCACTCCTCTGAGCCTCCTTTGCTTCCCTTACAAAGGTCTAGAGGCTTTTGAGCTAAGAATAGGTGTCAACCTGGTGCCAACCAGGGCTCCCAGCTCTGCAAGACACGGGGAAGAGGAGGCGGGCATGATGAGAAGGGATCAGACTGACCGGCGGGCAGGAGGGAAGGAGCCCACTCACTCGTGTCTCTTCTTGGCTGCAGGGTGTCCCTGGAAACAACGGCTTGCCAGGACAGCCTGGGCTAACTGCAGAACTGGTGGGTGCTGGCCAGGACTCACTGCCCATGCCCCTCCCTGTCCTTCCCAGGGCTAAGCTAGCCGTGCACCTGTAGCTGGGTTCCCTTTTCACTCCCCTTTCCCAAGACTGGAAGAAGCCCAGATGGGTGATGTGTCCTCACAAGTCTCCATCCCCCTCCCCCCCCACCTGCCTGAGCCCACACCTGTCTCTTGCAGGGATCCTTACCGATTGAACAGCACCTCCTCAAGGTAAGAGGATCCTAGGGAGGGTAGGAGCTGGTGGGGTGGGGGAGGGGCGTCTCCTCAGGAGATTTTCTTGTAAGTGCTCAGCTGCTAGCACCTCAGAGAGAGCAGCAGTTTGTAGGGAAGATGCATCCCAAGCATCTGTCTAAGAGGGCCTATCTGGTGCCTGGCTCGTAACACCCCCCTCCCCCTTCCCAGCAACATTTGCTGAATGAGTGCTTGAAGGAATCCTGTGAAGATCCCCACATGGTGGATGCTGTCACAGAACCCAGCCCTGAAGCCTGCCTGCCGCTGGCACTGAGACCATGTAGCACCTGGGTCATGGCAGGGCAGAGGGAGTGGAAGGGCAGCAGTAGGGGGCTGTTCTACACTGAGACTGGGCGGGTCCTGGAAGAAGGCTTCAGCCATTCTCTGATCAATCCAAGAAGGATCCAGGGAGGAGATGGAATTGGAGAGGCAATTCTCACAGTCCAAGAAAGAAGACTTGGGGCCTGTTCGGAGAGTTGGCCTGTCCAGGGCCTGCAAACAGTGTTCATCCCACCAGGGGACTGTGGCCTGGCCTGGCTTCCCAAGCTGGCAGAGGTTTCCATTGGGAACCAAGGGTCACACAGCCTTGGTGGCTCCATTACCTCTAGAGATGAGAGCACGGTAATTCCTCAGGCCACCTGCAGTGTTTTGAAGGCAGCCTTCATCTCTCTAGACTTTTCTCTCCTCCAGCTCAGCATCCTCAGAGGTCCCTCTCATGCCTTGGCCTCCAGAGCCCCCCTCGTCCTGGCCACCCTCCTCTGGCACTGGCTAGTCAGCTCCCTAGACATCCCACTGCCCCAGTGGGTCTTGGTGAGGGCAGCATGTCTGCCCTGCCCCTGCCCTGAATGGCAGACGTATCCAGAAGCAGCCAGAGGAGGTCGGGGTAACCTCCTAGCAGCAGTTACATGTTGGATCACAGTGGGGTTGTGTCAACGAAACCCCAAGCTCTTCTTCCCTAGGCTTCTGTCAAATTGGGTTCCCCGAATCCTGCCCCCGGGCAGTGATTGTGTGACTCCAATCCAGGATTTAACATTTCTCCCTGTGGCATTTCATCTGTTGGTTTCTTGATCAAGTGCCCCAAATAGAAACAGAGCGTGGTCTGGAGAAGGGGTCAGATGGCACTCCAGGGGCTGCTGACCACAAGCCCCAGCCACCATAGCACCCACAACCCAGACGAAGGGACAGGCCAGGCCAATACAGGCTCCCACTTGCCTTAGACAAGTCACACTACCTCCTTTGAGTATCGGCTCTCTCATTTCCACAATGCTTGTAAGATTACCTGCCTCACTGCGCCGTCAGGATTGAATGTGATAATGTGCAGAGGCCTATTAGGACGCCTAGCATCATGGGTGCTGAGGAAATGACGGCCATTAACATTGGGCTTGGCAGTGAGCAGTGAAGGTGAGCGCAGGCTCCTGCCTGGGCAGCCAAGGACAGCACACCAACCACAGACAGGCTCCAAGCTCCTGAGTCCTCTGAAATAGCACGCTGGCTTTCACTAGTGGGCTTTATTTTTCTGGGATGAGGACCCATAGCTCCCATCAAACCCTCAGAGAGGTCTGTGACCCAAAGAAGCCCCTGGGTAAGAGGAGGACCTTCCTGTGGGGAAGACCGTTCAGGTGCCAAGACCTGGGGAGCTGATGACAGTGGGGCCTCCTCTGGGGAAAGGAAGGCAGGCCCGTCCCAGGGGTGTCTGCGTGGGCCTGGCTTCTCCCGCAGCTGTTCCTTTGCTCCCTTGGGCAGGGAAGCTTGCAATTGGAGCTAGCCTTTCCAGCTTCTCTCCTTGTGGCTTGTCCTCACAGTGGGTGCAGGTTGCAGGAACAGCCGGGACAGATGGTCCCTCCGTGGGCCCCTCGCCTCCTCCCACATGCCTGTCTGGAAAGTGGCTTTGGCTGAGCCCTACCAGAGCTTCTTCCTGGAGGAGACTCAAAGCCAATTGTGGGGAGCGGGTCCCCTGAGGATGGAGCAAAGTTGCCTCAGGAACGTGGCTGGGGAAGGAGAGAGTGTGGGCAGAGGGCTGTGGGGAGAGAGCGCCAGCTCTGGGTTCTGAGTGGGGCTCCCCACTTTGACCCGTCCTGGCTGTCTCTGACCCATGCCCCAGTGCCCTTCCTGTTTCCTCATCAGAGCATCTGCGGGGACTGTGGCCAGGGGCAGATGGCCTACCCAGCGTCCATCCTGGAGAAAGGAGAGAAGGGGGACCAGGGCATCCCCGGTGTGCCAGGCTTCGACAACTGTGCCCGGGTAGGGACTTAGCCTGGGGCAGCCGGGTATGGGAGGGCTCCCTGGCCACCTCACCTGACAGGCCTCCCCTTGTCCTTTGCAGTGCTTTGCAGAGCGGGAGCGCCCGAGAGCCGAGGAGGCCCGGGTATGTGCCTCGTCTTATCTCCCTTGTCCCCACCATACCCATGCCCTACAGGAAGGGGCCCAGGCTGCTCACTCTTGTATCTCCATCATTCTCCAGGGAGACAACAGCGAGGGAGATCCCGGCTGTGCTGGGAGCCCTGGACTTCCCGGTCCTCCAGGGCTGCCAGGCCAGAGAGGAGAAGAGGTAAGACTAGGAAACAGGCCTCTTCTGGGCAGGGCCTCAAGTGGGCTGGCGTTCCCCATCTGCCTTTGAGACTTCTCAGGGGCCTCCGGGGCCTCATGTGACCGCTGCCCCTAATTGCTCTGGCCTTGTCTGCTCTCCTGGGCCACAGTCCTCTGGGATGCACAGGACACTTCCTCCAGGCCTAGCTGCGTCCCCTGCCTACAGTGCATTTCTCAGGGTTCACTCCTGCACTCTTCCAGCTCTGCTCAAATGTCACCTGCTCAATGACACCTCCCCAATTACTCTCATTACAACTGAGCCCCCACACCAACCCCATCATATGCATCACCATCTAACATGCAGTGTATTTACTTCACTCAGAAACATTCCACAGGTATCAGGTGAGCACCAATTATGTGCTAGCCCCTGCTCTGTGTGTAACCGTCCACCTCTCTCCTGGAAGGTGGGAGTTATGAGGCAGGGGGTTTTATCTGTTTTGTTTATGCTGTGTTACCAGCCCCTGGACCAGGGCCTGCTACATAATAGTTGCTCAATAAATGCTTGTTGGATGACTGAGTGAACCAAATGGAAGGTGGTTTTAACATCAGCTAATTGGTCCTGCTTGGCCAACAGCCACCCTCTGTCCACTCTGGTTGTGGTGAGCTGGGAGTAAGGTGGCTGGGACTTCAGGGCTCTGTAGGGTCTCAGCTTCTCCATCCATTTCCCTTGGCTTCCTTTGCAGGGTCCGCCTGGCATGAGGGGCTCTCCTGGTCCTCCAGGCCCTATTGTAAGTATCTGTGGTGCCCTGGTCTGCTTGAGAAGCTCTCATAGGGTCATGACACTCAGACACCATTCTGCTACTTGTCCCTAAGAAGCTGCGCAGGGCAGAAAGAGGGAACATCTACACGTTCCCTGCCCTCTCCTCCCCCAATGAGAGCATCTTCGGGGACTGTGGTCTCCACCATTGAGTCTCTTGGAACTGTTCTGCCCCGCTGCCTGTGGTTCTGACCAGGCGAGACCCTCTGGGCACATCTTTGCTTCCCATTCCCTGCTGTGCTTTACACAATAGACCCAGCCACCTGATCAGGGGGCCTTGGCTTCCAGCTCACAGTCAGGGAGGTGTGTGGTATTCTGGTCTGTGACACCAGTCCCTACAAGGGCCTGGGGCTAGGATGGAGCTGCCCTCCACCACTCTGGGGGGCCATCTCCAGGGCAAGTCTACAAAGACCAGACCAGAGGCCTCTACCCTGGAGTCCTCTGTGGTGATATGGAAGGAAAATAGATGTCATTAGGAAAAATGACTGGTGGGCACCGTCTTGGAGCCGAGGCCTGTGGAGGTCAGGTGGCAGGCAGGAGGGGCAAGGCAAAGAGAAATGGTTTCCACTCCAGCAAAGGCATCAGTTAGAGCCCGGGAGACTGGGAAGGACTCTGCCTCAGGGCCATTTCACATCTCTGCCCACGGAGGAGCCTTCCTCCTGGAGCCAAGGAGGGGAGCAGTTGTCTTCTGGGTCAAGACTTTCAATGAATCTCTTTTCCAGCTGCCTTGAAAATCTTCCCAGGACCTCCTCTCCCCCTGATCCGCCGGCCCCAGATCATGCCCCGCAGGCTGCCCCATGGGGGTTACTGTGCTTGTGAGATGTGACCTGCCTGTTTCTCCCACCAGGGCCCCCCAGGTTTTCCTGGTGCTGTTGGCTCCCCCGGATTGCCCGTAAGAACCTAGCGCTGCTCGAACCCCTCCCCTCCGCCAGCCAGGTCACTGTGGCTTTTGCTTGTCTCCCTTCCCGTGGTGCCTTCACTTCCTCCTCCGTGTTTGCTGTCCCCCTGCAGGCACGGTAGCTAACGACACAGGTTCCCTGAGGTCCCAGCAGCTGGGACATCCTCCCAGGCTCTGATTCTTTCCATTCTCCCCTCTCCTTCTTCTGCTTCCTTTCTCCCATTTTCTCTCTTCACCCCCCTCCGTCTGCCTTCGCCTTTTCTCCCACCAGCCCACGCCACTCCCCCACGTCCTCCTGAGCTATTGTGTCTTCTCATGTCAGGCTGGTGCCTCTAGGAGTCCCTTTCCTCCTCCCTTCTCGCTCTGCCTCCTGCTTCTCACCACCTTCGGTCTTGCCTGAAGATTTGCTGAAAGTAGTTCTTGGGGCCCTGCCAGGCACCTGGCTCAGAGCCCGGCAGAGATGCCAAAGCTGTAGGGCTTCACATTGCAGGCTGGCACAGGTTTGCTGCCCTGCTGCTTGGCAGGGCTGTCCAGAGGCACCCAGGGATTTAAAGGCAGGCCTGCCTGCACCTTTCCCATTGTCCTAGAGGAAACGCTCAGCTTCCTCCTCTTCCCTTCCTCTTCCTTGGCTCCAGTCCCAGTTCGCTCCGAGGCTGGGCACATGATACCAGCCCGTTGGGTTTCTGGGTGTCGTGCGGCCCCGCCCCTCTGTGCCCGGCACCTTGGCCGGCTCCTTCTGCCAGGTGTCGTTAATTGCTCTGCCTTCGTCCTTGTCACAGGTGTGTTTGAATCGCCCCCATCCTCACTGCTGCTCCCTCCTGGGTCACAGAAACTAACCTCCCGTGTGTCGGGTTCCGTGTTCCTGGGGCCTGGTGATGGAGGCTCAGGGAGCAGGGCCCCTCCTTGTCGCAGCTCCATCTGTCCCCACGTCCTCATCTCTGGCCGGGCCTTGTCTGTTTCTGCTTGCTTGGGTGAAGGGGCATCTGTCCGTCTAGCCATCTGTCTTGTGTCGTGGAAAGGCTTGGGCACTGTCTCTTGAGGGGGTGAGGGAGAAGGGGGCAGAAAAGGTGCCCTTAGTGGCATGGTGACTCTGTGAAGACCAGGGTGGGGAATGAGGGGTGGCGGCTCTGGCTTTGATTGCAAGTGATGTCCCCTTCCACCCTCCAAAGTCTCTCCCCTGCATCCCTAAAAGAAGGTGGTTTTTGGCTTGGGGGGTGGTTGGACAGGTAAGTGTCGGGTATCTGGTGACACGCTCTGTTGGGAACATCACTCCGGTTACTGCTTCTGATAGCTGTCCCTCAGAACAAGCATACATGTAATCTGTCACCCTCCTAAAGGCGCACGGCAGACAGTTACCATGGCAGGGCACACCAATACCAGGCACCTGAGAAGTAACCACTCGGAGTTGCCCACCAGGGGGCATGTCTGTAACTACATACCTGTCTTGGAGGGTGTGCTCCCGAAAGGCACCCACATGTAGGGGTTTTTGCCCCTGGCCGTCACTGTTCTGGAGCACACTTCCTATGGTCACCTTCCTAGGGACACTTGGGGAGCACCAGTGGCCTCCACTTTGGCCTAGAATGGGAACAGAGGGCTGTGGGGTGGGGGGAAGGAGTCAAGGGGCTGGGTGGGGGTCGCCCTTCCCTGTAGTTTCTCATGATTTTTCTCTCCAAGGGCCTTCAAGGAGAGCGAGGCCTCAGGGGCCTGACGGGAGACAAGGGGGAACCGGTAAGAAGAGGCTGGCAGGGACTGGAGAGAGATGACAAGCCCTGGGAAGGCAGCGGCTGGGCCTTGGGGGCCGGCTGCTGAGAGGAGGATGGGAGGGGATTCCTTGGAGACTCTATGCCCCTCTACCCCGATTCTGTTGGGGTGGGGGTCTTCACAATCCCTCAGGATCAAAGGAGGCCCTCTTCATGGCTCCGACTTCCCATCCTCCAGCGTCCTGGGCTCTCCTTCCCTGGTCTGCAGCCCTGAGCATGCCCCTTCCACTCCCTCCTCCCTGGTCCTTGAGGTCCCCCTCTGGGCCTTGTGGTCCCACTCTGGGCCTCCTCCTCTGGCTCAGCTCCTGGGGTCCGGGTCAGGCGGAGGCAGTCTTTTAGCCCCAAGTCTGTGGTGGTGGTCACGCTGAGGGAGCCTGGGGCTTGGGGAAATGGCCCGGTGGTGGCCATGCTGGGGCGGGTTGGCGCCTGCTGGGTGGCAGCTCCAGGCGTCCTGGCTTTGGCCACCCTCTGCCCAGGGAGGGGGAACAGAAATGATGGGGGCTTGTTCACCATGTCTGCCTTTCTTTGCAGGGTCCTCCAGGGCAACCCGGTTACCCAGGTGCCATGGGCCCCCCAGGACTGCCTGTGAGTAAGGGGGACCCTGGCTCTGGGGGTCTGGAGGCTCGGGAGCTGGTGGTCAGGATTGGTCTCCCTCAGCAAGCTCCCCCTTCCCAGGCATTTCAGCCTCTGCCAAGCCCTCTGTGTAGCCCCCTGCTGTAGGTGCCCTTGGTAGCTGGCTTGGCCTCACCTCTGCCTTGGGGGCTGGACTCTCAGAGCAGTCCCAGGCATAGCAAGAACTGGGATCTGCCTCTTCAGGGGGTGGGAGAGGTGGGGGGACAGCTGGGAGGCACCAGCCCCCTTAGCCCACTAGATGGGCATATCCCCCTTCCCACTGAAGCTGGGAACAGCCCACCCTCTCCTCCCCAGCCACCCTCCTCGTGCCATCTGCCTCCGAGAGCCGGCCTGGGTGCCGGCTGCAGTCTCCACCCCTCACATTAGCGCCGTGATGGGCGGGCCGCGGGGCTAATTCTGCTCTCTCTTTGCGGATTGTCAGGGCATCAAGGGGGAGCGCGGCTACGTGGGGCCTGCGGGAGAGAAGGGGGAATCGGTGAGTCGCTCAGCTCGCGGGGGTGGAAGGAAGGAAGGGCTTCAAATGGAGCCGCCTCTGCCAGCCACCGCCACCGCCACCGCCACCGCGGCTGGAGACTTCCTAGCAGCCTGTGAAGGAGGAGACCATGACCCCTGCTGCCCCTGCCCCCAGTCGAGTCTTTCCAGCTGCGTCTCGAGCAGGCGGTGCAGGCTGGTCACTGCGGAGGTGGAGGCTGGAGGCTGGAAGCGAATCCCAGCAGGGCTGCTGGGGGAGGGGCTCGGGAGTCAGCGGCAGAACTCCTCGCCTTCTGCAAAGGAGGGTCAGGGACTTTAGACCCAGCTTCCCTGAGTAGTCCGGTCTTCAGCAGAGCCACGCCCACCACAGAGCCCGGGATGCCAGGCCCCACTGAATGCAGGAGCTGGGCTCTTACCAGACACTGAGGCCCACAGAGTGGCTCACCCAGGGCCCCACAGCTAGCTAGTGAGTTAAAGGTGGAAGCCACACTTGAACTCATGTCTGTCTGGTGGCAAACCTCACACACCTCAGATCTAGAATCAGCCCCACTGGGACCGGAGTTTTACTAATTCACCCATGTCGGTGAGGCCTCAGGGAGATTCAGCAAACCCCAGAATGCATTTACTCAGGAACAGATTTCCTCCTGGGCTTGCTGGGTGCCCAACTTCCTTCTGAGAATACTGCGGGAAGCAGAGCAGGCAACCGCAGCCCCTGCCCTGCAGTGGGGGAGGCAGATACCAGATGAATAGACGAGTACAGATAAATGGGGAGAGACAGGACTGACTAGAGAGGCACCATGGACACCGAGTCAGAAGGCCTCTGAGGAGGTGGCATTTGAGCTGAATGGCGGGAGGACAGGCAGCAGGCAGTTGTCTGTGCTGGGGAATTCCAGAGGGAGAGGCCAGGGTGGGGCACTGCAGGAACAGCCTGGAGCCATCTGATGATTGGACAAGGTTTCAGGAGACCTAGAATTTAGGAGAAGGGTGGGCATTCCAGCCATACAAAGGCCCAAGGGTGTGGAAGTGTAGAGTGTTCAGGGAATGGTGGGCTGACTGAGCAAGGCTGCAGAGGAAGGGGGGAAGGAAGAGAGATGGGGAAGAGTGGCTGGTGCCAGATTACAGACCACCTCAAAGACCAGCATCAGTGGAAAGTGTGTGCCTCATTCAGAGGCATAGGGAGCCATGGAAGGTGTTTGAGCAACAGAGTGACATAATTAGAGCTGTGCTCGAGGAAGAGAAGATGGCAGCCATTTCCTGGCAGACTAGGAGTAAGCCAGGAGCTGACAGGACTAGTTAGGAGGCTGGTAGAGTAGCTCAGACAAGAGAGGGGAAGCCTGAACAAATCAGGCAGAAGAGTCCTGCCAGCTTAGGGAGCCTTCTGCCCCACCCTCCCTGCCTCTGCTCTGGGTCCCATTCCCTACCCCATCCCTCCTCTACCCTGGTCAGAGTGACTGATTCTGCGCCTTTGTGTCCCCAGGGTCCCCCAGGATCTGAGGGTCTTCCAGGTTCCCCAGGCCCAGCGGTGAGTGAGGAAGGGGGCAGGGAGACTTGGACATGGCAGCCCTGGCCCTGCCCTGGGTTCCAGCTGCATTGTTCTCTGTGGGTCACAGGGTCCCCGAGGAGAGCGAGGACCCCAAGGGAACTCGGGTGAGAAGGGCGACCAGGTGAGTGCCAACTGGGACCTGGCTAGGAAGAGGCAGGGGAGAGGCCAGGTCTTCTTCCCTGGTGGTCACCGCTGTAGCCTCCGTGCTCCATCCTTGAGATGTGGGAGTTGTGACCTCCTGCCTCACGCCCAGAGCCTCACCTGCCAGCCATCCTGGGCAGAGGGGAGGGCAAGACCTTGTGGGCCTGGGGCCATCCCACCTATCCCACTTTCCACCTGGGCAGCCAGGCAGGAGAGGGAGTGACACAGCACACTGTCCCTTGCTTCTTCCCCAGGGATTCCAAGGCCAGCCAGGCTTCCCAGGCCCGCCGGTGAGTGAAGACACAAAACCAGCTCTGTCTGATGTGGTCTCCTCGGGAGGGGCAGGCCTGTCCAGGCCAGGCTGGGGGAGAATGGTCCTGGGGAGGGGAGGAGCAGCCTGGGTGGCCCGGCCTGATTCCAGGAGCCAGGACCTGGAGAGCGGGGCCTCCTGGGTGGGCCCCAGCCCTGGGCTGGCAGACATGATGCTCCTGGGTGGTGCTTCTAGGAAGTCAAAACGAATCGCTTTAACAGCATGCAGGAAGAAAGGGGTGCTCCTGCTCCAGCCCCACTTTCATTTCTGCCTGCTCCTTTGTCGACACAGGGTCCCCCTGGATTCCCAGGCAAAGCTGGAGCACCCGGCCCCCCCGGCCCCCAAGCGGAGAAGGTGAGCAGGACCCCAAGTGGCCAAAGTCACGTCCCTGTCACACCCCTAGCACCAGGCCTTCAGGAGATTCCAAGACTGACCCAGTTGCATCAAAGCTGGGGAAAGAGTCCTCCAGGATGAGCCCTGCGACTGCTGGTTGGAATCAGGGCCTGCGGTAGACCCATGGATGGCCTCTGGGCCCAGGATGCTTGCTGCCTCTGTGCAGCCCAGGCCCCTGTCTGCTTGGAGGGAGGGAAAGGCAGGGAGGTGGGTGGGAGGAGGCAGGGCTGTGGTGAAGGCCTAGAATTCAACAGGCAGCCCAGGCCAGCTTCATGAGGCGGGGGTGGGGGTGTGAGATGCTGAGGGAAGGGGGAAGCTCATCCTAAAGGAAGACGCCAACCTGGAGGGGGAGTGGCCTCCCTCTCCAGCAGCAATGCCCAAGGGCCCAGAAGGCCTGTGGCCCGCATGGTGACAAAGTTAGGAAGGAACGGCTGTCATGGGAGCCCCCACAGTGGCTGCCCTTGAGTTTGGCTTGATTTACTTTGAAGATGTGACTCTGCCTTGCTTTGGGACTGACACCCAGTCTCCCTAGCTGTGCTGAGTGGGTGGTAAGAGGCCCCGAGACTGACTTCTGAACTTGGGATGGGGGAATCGGGGCCCAGAGGGAGGCCTGTAGCCTCACGGAGAGTCTTTTTCCTCTGAGCATACACATTCACTTCTCCCGGTGCGGGCTGGGAAACTGAGGTCTGCAAGGCTGGGACAGCAGCGCAGCCCTTGCTCTCCGTAGGCTGGTCATTGCAGAGAATCCTAAACCCCTGGCCAGTGGTTCTCCAGCCCAGTCCCAGTGGGGGCGGACATTGGCTGAAGCTGTGCTGACCCCTCCTGGCGGTGGGTGGCACTGCAATGCCCCCTGAGCTCTTTTTTTCCCTTTGCTGGATGGATCCCTTCCCCTTGACCACCCCACAGCCACAACTTCAGGGCGCCACCCTCTCTCCACTGAGGGAATGTAGCAGCTGCTTGCCTCTCCCTCCTTTTCTGGTAAATGTTCCAATTCACCATCAATTCTCATCACCCCCCTGCTTTAAACCTTAAATAGCTCCCCAGTGCCTGTAGCAGTGGTTTTCAGACTATTTTCTAGTCCCTGTGTCTTTTCTTTACACAACATTTCATGTCTATAAAACAGATACATGTGAAGTCCCCCTTCATGGCTCCAGTGTTGAGGCTACCCCAGGCATCCCCAGGACTCTGAGAAGTACAGTTTAAAAACCACTGGTCTGTTTGATAAAGCTTGGCATGGCACTCAGGGGCCCCACTAACCAGACCCTTCAAGCCTCTTTTCCCACCAGGCCAGGCATGGGACTATTTCCAAATCTTTACCCTTCTTTAGATTCTCTTTGGCATGCATTTCTCTCCTCCACGCCTAATCCCAGACATCCTTCAGGATCTAGTGTCTGATGACACTTCTGTGACACTCTCTCTGATCTCCAACCAGAGTAAACTGCCCCCTCTTCTGAACCATGCAGCCCCTTTCCACACAGAGCACATGGTCTGTTGAATTACCCCTGACTGTGGTGGGCCCGTGACCCTCACTGGGCTGTGAACTCCTTGAGGACAGGAGCCACCCACTTTTTTTCATCTTAGGGCATCAGAGCCCACACGGTGCTTGGTGTGCTGTCAGACCTGTGAGTTGAACAGGTGATCTCAGTTCAGCACATGCTCCTGAGCACCACCTGCCCCTGGGTCAGCCCTAAAGGAGATGCTCTGCTCCTCCTCCTAGACCAGAGAGAAAGGGTGGTGCTTTGCACAACATATGCTCTTGGGAAGGCAATGTGTGGCATATATCCAGTTAGGCCAGGACAGAACCACAGTCAGAAGTCTGCTGTCCTGACTTCCAGTAGTCACTGGAACCCCTGGCTAGGGCTGAGTCTCTAAGGGTGGGACAAGGCCCTGCTGACTTTGTTGGGGGGACTGGTTTCCAGGGCAGCGAAGGGATTCGAGGCCCATCAGGCATGCCTGGTCCTCCTGGGCCACCAGGACCTCCTGGGATTCAGGTAAGTATGTACCTTCTTAGCCTGAAAACCGTGTGGGTGGGTGTGTATGTATGTGTGTGGTACACGTGTGTGTGTGTGTGTGTGTATGTGTGTGTGTGTGTGTGTGTGCTGGGGTGGGAGTCGGGTGAGGGGTGGAGACAGCTGAGGACCTGGGGCAGGTCTCCTACCTCCTGGAGCTGCAGCACGAGCATGGAGAAATGCCTTTTTCTGCTTCCAGGGGCCTGCCGGTCTGGATGGTCTGGATGGGAAGGACGGCAAGCCTGGCTTGAGGGTGAGATGGCGGGCGGGGAAGACAGGCATCCTTTTTCTCCTTCCTTCTCCAAGATCCAAAGTCAAGGGCCCTGAGGAAAGGAACTGAAGTGTTCCCTCCACCTTTCAGGGAGCATGTGTGCCCTCCCTCTGTCTGCCTCCCTCTGCACTCCACCTTACTGATGGCACCAGAGCCCCTTGGTTTCCCAGTTCTCTTAGTGACCTTAACCAGGTTAGACAAGCTGGGCCTCACCAGAGGCAGGGCAGTGAAGAGAATGCATTATATCCAGAAACTCATACAACTAAAGAAAACTAGGCTCGGCGTCAGGAAGAATCAGGCTACAGATATGGAAGGACTTGGGCAAGCCCTGCCTCCTTGGGTCTTATTTTTCTGAGAAATCTGAAAGGGCAGAACATCAAGGTCAGTCCCCTTTCTGTGCCCAAAAGAAGGACAGCTAAGGCCTGGAGAGGGGCTGGGATTAACCAAAGGTCCACAACCACTTATTGGCTGAGCCAGGCATGGATCCTTCCTTCTGCCCCACGTGATTCTTGGGTTCTTCCCTACATCCTGGGATAGGTGGGGGAGGGACTGGAAAGAGGGGAATCCAGTGGTAAATGAGTTGGGTACAAGCTGGACAAAAACTGTCTCAATGTCCATGTTCTCTTTCCCTAGGGAGACCCTGGCCCTGCTGGCCCCCCTGGACTCATGGGACCCCCAGTAAGTGAGGTTGAGAGCTGAGCAGTTGCAGCCTCTGCCTGGATGGCCACAGGCATCTCATATCCAGATCCCCTGTGAACCACGTTGTGACTTTGGAGTGGTTTGATTTGTTTAACTTGAAGAAAGGAGTGGGAAGAAGCCCCTCATTGAGGCAAGGGACCGGAGCACTCCCTGTTTTTTCTTCCAGGGCTTCAAGGGGAAAACAGGACACCCCGGCCTCCCAGGACCTAAGGTAAGGGCCTGGTGACATCTGCCAAGCAGTTCTTCCCTGTTCTTCTGAGGACCTGGCCCTGCCTGAGAGGCCGTCTCAGCCTCTGAGCCTCCTGAGGCCAGTGGTGCCTGGCAGACTGGGTCAGGGTTTTGCTGTCTACCAGCTGGAGGGCATCAGAGGGCCTCTGGCCAAAGCTGGGGCAGGTGCAAGGCCCCTCTGATGTGGGGTTGATTTGGGGTAGGAGTGCCTGCCAGGTGAAGGCCTGGTGAACTCCAGCCGCCCCTCTCTCTTCTAGGGTGACTGTGGCAAACCAGGTCCCCCTGGCAGCAGTGGCCGGCCTGGAGCAGAGGTAAGGGCTGGGATCTATGCCTGCTGCCTTTGGTTGGCTTTGAACCCTGCTGAGTCAGAGATGTAGCCGGTTCCTCCCGCTTATGGGCAGAGTGGCTGCCTTCTCAGCCTTATGGGGGAGGTTTACCCGACACTCACATCTTAAATTCTCGCCCTCCTCTTAAGGGTTGTTGTTGGTTCTGCTCCGTAGAACCTAAAAAGGCAGGCCTGGCCTGCTCAGGCTGGGGGCTCCACCTTCTCTATCCAACATTTCTCATGGGGCAGGACTGGTCCCTCAGGCCCTGGAAGGCCCAGGTCTAGAGGCTGGGACTCAGCCCAGCTCCTGGGGCCACTAGCAATCCCACCTGCTCTGCTCAGCCCTCTCCTACCTGACAGCCACATGTGTGCAAGCAAGTCAGTTTCTGTGTCATTTCTTCCTTTTCTGGCTCCTTGTAGGGTGAGCCTGGTGCCATGGGACTTCAAGGAAGACCCGGCCCCCCTGGCCATGTTGTGAGTTAAACTGTTTTTGTCTCTGCCTCTATGAGACTTAGGACTTGGTGAGGTTGGGGGGTGGTGGGTCCGCTGGGGCTGACCTGAAAGAACTGATCGCAGGCAGAGTCTGCCCCAACTGTGCAGAGCGAGGTGGGTCTTGGGCTCACCCAGGCTTTTCACCATTTTCTTATTTTCTGGACATATCCAAGTTCACTTCTCACACGAAGGTCATTCAGTTAGTCAACAAATAATTATGGCACACCTGCTCCATGCCAGGCACCGAGCCAAGCACTGGGGCAACGGCAGTGACCAAGATGGACAAGGTCCCCTGATCTCACTGAGTGTTCATGCAGGGACAACAAACTGACAGACTAATGTGAAAGCACCAGGTAGTGATGTGACACTGCAGGGAGGGCCTGGGAGGTGACTTCCGAGGAACCTTTCAGAGAAGTGACATTTGAGCTGGGGCCTGAATCCAAGGAGCCAGCAACTGGGCAACTGGGGGAAGACAGTCCCTGGCAGAAGCGCAACGAATACAAAGAGCCCCAGGCAGGGGGAGCTAGGCGTGTTTGAGGAACCCCATGAAGGTCACCATGACTGGAGTGTGGCTTGAGAAAGGTGTGAGTGGAACTGGGAAAATTGAGCTTCAAGAAGGACATGCTGCCCGTGGCGGGGACCTGGGAGGTGTGGTCAGAGTACCCGGAAGCATGTACCCGGAAGCCGTGGATGGACGGTTGCGGTGGAGGGGGGATTTTGTGGACAGACTCGAGGACTTGCTGACAATCTGGACTAGGGTCGGGGGAGAAAGGTAGGAATCAAAGATGATCCCTGCGTCTGGCTTGGGCAGCTGGGTAAGTAGGTGGTGTATTTACTGAGACAGGTGATTTGGAGAGAACATTTCTTCAGCAATAATGAATTCCCTGTCTACTTCACATCAAATGTAGACGACTGCCAGTTGGTGCCTTTGATCAGCATGACGGCACTGGGTGGAGGGGTTCTCGGGGAAAGCACATATACTGGCATTTTGTTGCAGCCCTGTTGTGACTGACTGTGTAATTTCCAGGAACCTTTTGGAAATGTTAAAAATAGTTCATGACCAAAAACAGGAACTCTCAGGTCCCTGTCGCTATTTGTATGCCTCAAGGGGTCCAGAGGCCCTGGATTGGGAATGCCGGGGCCAGCCATTACGGTGAAAGGAGGAAGCATACCCTGAATCGTGGCCCCAATGGAGACTCATTGTGGGGCTGGGGATGAGGGGGTACAGGGCTCCCTGTCTCACCTCTGTCCGTTTAACTCATCTCCTCTGCTGGGTGATGGTCCCAGTACTGGACATTCTTGTCATGAATAGAACAGAGACCATGACCTCTGGAACTTTCCATCTGGGAGTGCTGTGAGAGAAACCTGAGTGCCCTGGGGTTCAGAGAAGGGGTCACTGTGACCAGAGAGGTGACATTTGAACTGTCCTCAGAGGTAGAGATGTGAATGGTTGGAGTTGGGGAGGGTGTTCCCGGTGCAGCCCCGGCACAGGTGGGGGAGCAGTCAGGTGTTGGAGTCTCACTGGCTTCAGTGTTGGGGGCAGCGGGAAGCCAGTGAACCCAAGTGCTGTCCCCAAGCTTGTCCATGTGGATGTTAGGGTCTGTGCTGAGCCCCTACTCCTCACCCCCTGCTACGCAGATGCCCAGTTCCTGGTGTTCCCCCCTCTCTAGGACAGGAGGAAGTGGGCTGCCTTTAGGGAAGCAAGGGTCTCAGGGGACACCTAACTCTGCCCTCTGATGGTGGCTCCCAGATCATCCCCTCAGCCTGGCCCCAGATATACCACTCAGTATGGGTAGGTGGGAGGGTTCTGTGTGTTCAGGGATCCCAGACCTCAACTCTAGGTACAAAACCTCTGGCAGAAGTTGGGCCCTCTGCCTCTGGGGGACTTATTAGACCTGTTTCTTTCTTTCTTTCTTTCTTTTTGAGTTGGAGTCTTACTCTGTCACCCAGGCTGGAGTGCAGTGGCACTCTCATGGCCACCCCAGCATCGACCTGCTGGGCTCAGGTGATCCGCCTCAACTTTCCAAGTAGCCGGAATTAGGTGTGCAGTACCATGCCTGGCTAATTTTTTGATGTATTGTAGAGATGAGGTCTTGCCAAGTTGCCCAGGCTATTCTCAAACCCACGGGCTCAGGCAATCCCCTCACTTTGGCCTCCCAAAGTGCTGGGATTACAGGCTTGAGCCACTGTGCCCAGCCTAGACCTGTTTCTATCCCACTGACTCATCTCTCTCTAGGGGCCACCGGGGCCTCCAGGCCAGCCAGGACCAGCAGGTATCTCTGCAGTGGTGAGTGACATGTTTCTTACTTCCTCCCATGGCTTCTATCTACCCTGCTGTGCTGTAGGCCCTTTCAGAGGAGGCTGGAAGAAGGGAGAACATTTTTGTCTCCCTCCCCGGCATCAGCCTCTCCTGCCTCCGAAAATCCCCCCTTCAGGATGTGGTAAAGGGCTTCAAAGAGGCCTGGAGCCCATCCTGGGTCCTCCTGCGAGTTCAGGCAGCACTCCTTCCCCTATGAGGCGTGGCGTACATGGGGTATCTCTCACCATCCCCCTTCCTACTCTCTAGGGCCTGAAAGGAGACCGGGGAGCCACCGGAGAAAGGGGCCTTGCGGGCATCCCAGGTCAGCCTGGCCCCCCTGGACACCCTGGTCCCCCGGTAAGACCCCGTATCTATGGCACAGCCCAGGGGAAAAGGGTCAACTGGCTGTAGGTCAGTTGGGCACAGCATTGCACATGTGGAGTCTCCAAAGAAGGAGAAGCTGTTGGCATATCAGGTTGGCAGTGTGGCGCTGGTGCCTGAGGACCATGTCATATTTGGGAAGACAGGCCCTGCAAACCAGTGCTATGCCAGCTGCCCACAAGGTCACTGTCTCTGATCACGCACCAGCATCAACCTCATTCAGACCCCTCGGCTAGGTGTCAGACAGAGGTGGCGTGACCCTGTTCTGCCTCTGCCCCTTCCCCAGGGGAGCTTGTTGGTAACCACAGAAAATCTTCGTAAATGTCAGGAACTAGAAGTGCTGTTACTGTAACTTTCTGAGCTCCCCAGAAGCCACAACTTGGTCTCAACCAATATTTAGAGCAGTGATATGTTGGTCACTGACCATGTGCTGAAAATGGACTGGGTGCCTGATGTGCATTTTGTCGTAACCTGTACTGCAGCCCCGTTTAGTAGACCTGAGTGTGCCCAGCTGAGTAGCTGGGGCTCAGAAGGTGAAGTAGGTTGCTCAGAGTCACATGGCTAGTGAGCAGAAGAGCTGTGACTCTATCCCCGCCTGCCTGATTCCAGAACCAGTGTTCTTTGCCACTCTGCAAACCTACCTCTTTCAGATGTTCTAGACAGGGTGACCCACGTGAGGTGGAACCGATTGCCCGTCTTTGAGAGAGCTGAGGCAGGGACCCAGGCCTCCTAGCCCCCATCAGGATGCTTTCTACCAACACAGACTTTCTTCTGGGGGGCCGCAGCAATAATGCTGGGGCTGGTGGCCTGAGATGGGGAGATGACTCCAGTCATCTGCCACGGGGGCCTCGTCTCACCACACGTGCTCACTCTGATTCCTGCCAGAGACCCTGGCAAGTCCCTCTGACCCTGCCTCCCTCCCGGCCTGCAGGCTCAGGATCTTCAGCGCCCCCGAATGACTCTACAGTTAAAGATTCTTCTTCCCCAGCATCTCACCAGAAAGGGGCTGGCCCATGGAGCCAGCCTCTCCTATCCTGGGGAAGGAGTAGGCTTAGGTTCTCCCAGGAGTTCCTGGGACTTCCCCTGTGGAGCTCAGCAGGCGTGCAGCCGGGAGCTATCAGGCTGGGGCTTCAGGATCAGATGGGAGTCGGGGATAGGGGTCTGAGTTTCCACAGCCTGTGCCCAGAGTGTCAGAAGGTGAGGGCTGGAGGACTGGGCTTCTTGGTGAACCTGAGGGCAGGGCATGCCCAGTGGGCCAGGTGAGGCCTATGCCACCAAACTGGGTTGGAGCTCATCATGTCTCTACTGCTCTACTCTGCAGGGCGAGCCTGGTGCAGATGGTGCTGCTGGCAAAGAGGTACCATTGTGCTGCTCTTCTCTTTCCTCTTGGGGACACTTCCTGCTTTGCCCTGACTTCTCATTCATTCAGCAAACATGCCCCATATGGCTGTCTTTGGACAGATATACAGAAAACTGCTGACCCCTATTGCTCTGGGGAGGGAAATTGGAGAGTAGGGAAAAGGATGAGCATGAGATTTGTTGTACTTCTTTTGTCCCCTGTACTTGATCAAAAAGAGATGATAATAATAATAATCTCCGAGTGAGCCGGGCTTGGTGGCTTAGTCTGTAATCCCGTGCTTTGGGAGGCTGAGGTGAGTGGATTGCCTGAGCCCGCGGGTTTGAGATCCACCCGGGCAACTTGGCGAGACCGCATCTCTACAATAAATCAAAAAATGAGTCGGGCATGGTAGTGCGCACCTGTAGTTCCAGCTACTTGGAAGGCTGAGGTGGAAGGATCGCCGGAGCCCAGCAGTTCGAGGCTGTGGTGACCAGGAGCGGCCACTGCACTCCAGTCTGGGTGACAGAGTGAGACTCCAACTCAAAAAGAAACAAAAAACAAAACAAAAACAATAATCTCCGAGTGAACATTTCATGGGCACCAGCCCTGGCCAGGCCCTCTAATATGCCACAGATGGGCCCTTTTATTCTGACTTCTCACCTCTCTCTATCAGTGATAGGGAACCCAGCTAACATGATCAAACAAGGCCACGCCCCAGGGGACATCATTCTCCCTTCATTCAGCCCTTCCTTATTCACACAGAGCCCCACTGGACACAGCTCGGGGCTCTAGGGCTGTGTGCAAGGTGGTCTTTTCACCTCCCTTGCCAGGATGCTTCAAAGATGCTGCCCAGACTTGACCCCTGACTTTTGCCTTCCTCTAGGGACCCCCTGGAAAACAGGGACTGTATGGACCACCTGGTCCCAAGGTGAGTGGGTGCAGGCTGGGTTTGAGAGGAAAAGCTCATGAGTTGATTAAGCCAAGCTCCACGTTATGACTTTAGCCACCGAAAGGAGATACAGGAGGTTCCGTGGACAGGGGGAAAAAATGGGCAGAACTTGGAGGAGCACTGTGTCTGAAGACTTCTCACATGGGGCCGTTCCAGGGTTCTTAGCTATGGTTGGGGGAATGGAAATCTTGAGTTCATTCATTCATTGACTGATCAACTGATTTATTCATTCATGTTTTCATTCCACAAGCATTGGCTTGCTCCTGCTCACATTCTAGGCCCTCTGTCCTTGGGTAAACAGAGGTCCCTGAACGATAGGCATTCACAATAGTCCAGGCACACTTACACTAGAGGGTGGCAAGTTTTACAGCAGATTAGACACAGCACTGTGGGACCAGAGGAAGGGAACACCCCGCTCAGCCTGGGGAGGCAGGGAGGCTGCGTGAAGAACAGGAACACCAGCTGAGGAGGAATGTACTGCATAGAGATGAGGGGAAGGGCATTCCAGGAGAAGTAAGGCAGCATGGCAGAGTCAGAGAATTATAACCAGCAAGGTCTGGCAGGTAGTGGAAGGGCAAGGAGAGGAAACCAGAGAAGGAATGGTCAGGACCACATCATCAGTGGCCTTGAACACCTGATCGTGGAATTAGGCCTCTATCCTGAGGGAAGTTGGGAGCAATGAGAATTTCTATGCAGGGGATAGCACCACAAGAACTGTCTTCTAGAAGGACCACTTTAGGGCAGTGAGGCTGAGTGATCTCTCAGGATGCTGTGATCACAGTCCAGAGGGAGATAGATGCTGGGGCCTAGTGGGAGGACGGAGAGAAATGGGTAAGTTGCTGAGGCTTCATGATGTAGACTTATCAGCACTTGGTATCCCATTCTTGTAGGGTGACCCAGGACCTTCAGGACAGAAGGGCCAGGCAGGAGAGAAGGGGAGATCTGGCATGCCTGGTGGGCCTGGCAAGAGCGGCTCCATGGGGCCTGCTGGGCCGCCAGGTCCTGCAGGAGAGAGAGGTCACCCTGGATCTCCAGGGCCCACAGGAAGCCCTGGATTGCCTGGCGTGCCTGGCTCCATGGTAAGAGGGATGGCTGGCAGCTGCGGGCACCGTCCTGTAGGTGTGTAGGGTGTAGCATGGGTCATTTCCAAGCTCCTACTGACATTTTGCAGCAAAGAGCTTGATGGCTCCCATGTTGGTGGTTCTTAACTGTGTGAGGGCTGGGTAAGAGTTATAGACCCTCTTCCCAGAAAATGCCCTTAAGCACAAAATGTGTCGTATCATTTAGGGGCGATTAGGACTTTGGATTAAGAATCTGTGGGAGACTCCTGGGACTTTTGCCCTACCCCTATCCGTTATTTCCATGAAGTCTGTTCCCAGGGGGGAGCAGCCAACTTAGAGGTATAATTGAGGCAGGCTTTCTTCTCTTTCCTCAGGGAGACATGGTGAATTATGACGAAATCAAGAGGTTCATCCGACAAGAGATCACTAAAATGTTTGATGGTAACTGGCAGCCGGCTGGGCAGCAGTGGGTGCTGCCTGCCCTTCCGTGCGACTTCCCTCCCTGCCTTGGCCTCCTTTTCCTTAAAGCTCAGTGTCCTCCTCCTCTCATCCCCCACATACTTACAGGCCTGGGGTTGACAGGCCTGTGCTCAATTATCCTTCAAACCTTCCTTGTCACCTGCTCTGTTCAGAGAGAAAATGATTCTCTCCTGCCCTCTCCCAGCCCCTACCTGAGCAAAAGAGACAGACAAGAAAATTGATATCAAATGAATCTGCATGAAATGAGCTCTAAATACAGGGGCGAGCAGCAGCAGCAAGATGGCTGGCTTGGGTTTATTTGAAGCTTTTTCTCCGTTCATTTGTTCATCCAGCATTGATGTGCCCGGGACTGGAGAAAACATGAGCCCATCCTGAAGGGACTGGACATCTTGCTTGGGAAGCAGGCCTTGAATGCCAAGCAAGGAGTCTGGACTTTATTCTGAAGCCAGTGGTGAACCCATGAAGGGTGTTGGAGCAGAGAGGTGCCATAGTCAGAGCTGTGCTTCTCTATGGGGCATGATGCAGATGCCAGGGCACAGGACCCCACTTAGGAGACCCACCCCCACACTGCTTGCCCTGTCATGGTCCCTGAAGGAAGGCTGTCCTGGACTCTGTGCTGGTGACCTGCCTGCAGCACCTGTGGTCATTCTGAGTCCCTGGGGCACCCTATGACCTATCCTTGTCCTTTCTTATAGAGAGAATGGCTTACTACACCTCCAGGATGCAGTTCCCCATGGAGATGGCTGCAGCTCCCGGACGGCCAGGGCCCCCGGGGAAGGACGGTACTCCAGGCCGGCCAGGCTCTCCGGGGTCACCTGGGCTCCCGGGTCAGATTGGCAGAGAAGGACGACAGGGCTTGCCAGGAATGAGAGGTAGCTCTGCCCTCCCAGTTCCCAAGGGATACATGTAGCTCTTTTAGGGCAGACCTAAGCATTCCATGGGTCTGCTATGAATATGGGATTTGTGTGTTTCAAGTAATCTGACTGGCTATGTCATTTTCTTGCTCAGGAATAGGACTCATTTTCTTTCTTTTGTTCCAGGATTACCTGGAACTAAAGGGGAAAAGGGTGATACTGGTGTTGGTATTACTGGAGAAAGTGGCCTCCCTGGACCCCCAGGTAGGAAAAACCAGCAACTGAGACCATGAATCCAGAGCAGCAGAGACCTCTTCCTTTATATTCCTTCTATGACACATTGAGTCCAACTCCAGATAACTCTAGTCCAATCAGTCACTACTGATAGTAATGCCAGTGTGTGCGAGATACTCTGCCAGGGCCTGTGGGGGAGAGGAGAATGGAAGGCTCAGTGCCTGTCCTTCAGTCCTGAGGTAGGCTAGCGTGATGCAGTAGGAGGTAGGTGCACGTGGTCGGGGACCAAGTTCAAGTTCTGCTTGGCATCTTACTGGCTGTGCTACCTTGAAGAGGTCATTTACGCCCCTGGACTTGCTCTCTAAGATGCATGCTTGTCTATATGGCCTGAAAGAGAATGGTTAAAGCCTGATGACCTGGCTCTGAGACCCAGCTTTGCTTCTGATCAGATGTGTGACTTCTCTGTGCCTGTGTCCTCATCTACAAAATTAGAAAATCACTAATTTCTCAGGGAATTGTTGTTCAGATGCAGTGAATAACACATCAAAAGCACTCAGTCCTGTGCCTTAGTAAAACTAAGAAGTGCTTAGTAAACACAGAAGCACTTAGTAAAACTAGCCAGTAGTATTGTTATTGCTAAATCAATTTGAGGATCAGATTGGGGCTTTGTGAAAACATGTGGTAACCTGAGAAATAGTCATCAAATATAAGGTATTCTATTATGTGACCAATATTGCCTTTTTTCTTATGACCTGGGTCTTCTAATTTTCTTCTGTGGCTCGTCCCTCCCTAGGTCCCCAAGGTCCTCCAGGTTATGGCAAGATGGGCGCAACAGGACCAATGGGCCAGCAAGGGATCCCTGGCATCCCTGGCCCCCCAGGGCCCATGGGCCCACCAGGCAAGACTGGCCACTGTAACCCCTCCGACTGCTTTGGGGCTATGCCAATGGAGCAGCAGTACCCACCCATGAAAAACATGAAGGGGCCTTTTGGCTGAAATCTCCACCTGCCATTGGATAAAGGACTCCATTGAACTAAATGGCCAAAGCGTACAGGACTCTGTCACAGGTTGTGAATGTTTTTGTTGTTATTGTTTTTAATTGTTGTTAATATTTTTTAAATAATAAAGAAACAAAACTATCTGCCATTCTCCTTCCAGTGGGGCTCCTCTGGTGCTGCAGCCAAAGGTCCCTGTCATCTTCCTTTTTTCATTTGGTCCCAGGATCCATAAAAGACCATTTCCGGTGTAGTAGTGCACGCCTGTAGTTCCAGCTACTCAAGAGGCTGAAGTGGGAGGATTGCTTGAGTCCAGGACTTAAAGACCAGTGAGGGCAACATAGTGAGACCCTGTCTCCAAAAAATAAAAAGTGTTGAAATTTTAAAAAGGGTATCTCCCTCAGGGCTGTGGTCAGCCAATGGAGCTGTAGGATGCTGCTGTCCTGTAGGGAGCCCCAGGCTCAGTTTTCATCTCAGATGCTCATCCTTTGGTCCTCTGGATCTTGTGACCTGTTCTTTATACACACTTCTCTGAAGTTAGGGAAGGGGCATTGCTCAGCCTCTCCTCTCCAATAAGTCAAAAGCAGGTTTGCAGCCCCACTTCTAGCTAATAAGGGCCCCTCCCTATTTGCTTCTCTCTTTTTTTCTTTTTTTTTGAGTTGGAGTCACTCTGTCGCCCAGGCTGGAGGGCAGTGGCACACTCCCGGCCACCACAGCCTCAACCTGCCAGGCTCCGGCAATCCTTCTGCCTCAGCCTTCCAAGTAGCTGGAACTACAGGCGAGCGCTACCATGCCCGGCTAATTTTTGATTTAGTGTAGAGATGAGGTCTCACCAAGTTGCCCGGGTGGGTCTCGAACCCGTGGGCTCAGGCAATCCACTCCGCTCCTATTTGCTTCTCTAAAAAAACCAGTGTTCGGTATCCCACCCACCCCTTGCCCACCCGCTTCACTTCGTCAGTATGACCCAAAGCCAATCAGGTGGCACCCTGGAAAATGCCACACAATGCTGAGGCGTGTTCATCTGCCTGGAAGCCCCTCCAAGCATGCAGGCGCTCCTTGATGCTCCAGTAATTCTGAGATTAGAAAACCTGCATAAACAGGACAGGAGATCGGCTCCAGCCCCTGGCCTAGGCAGCCGGGGAATGCTTCTCTGGGAAATGAGATGGAACCTCCTGCCTGTACCAATACATGGCCCTGTCACCAGCTCTCCATAAGTGCTTCAGGCAACGGCTTTCTGGACTGCAAATGGCATCTTTTGTCATTCCGACATGTGTGATGCTTTTCCTGTACATCTTAGCCCAGGCCTTCAGAAACAGCCAGCTTGTATCAGTGCAAAGGGGTCATGGGCCAGGCACATGCAGATCTCAGTTCCTGGTCCTCAAAGTCCACTGGGAGTTTGATAAAATGCATCATCTTTGCATTGAAGTCTGCTGTCTCCTTCTGTGTAAAAAAGCTTGGAAGGTGGGGGGAGAACAACAGCGAATTGAACATTATAGAAACATTCTGTCATGAGCTTCTTCCTTCTCTGCTTTTCAGATCACTTGTCCTGATGGGGCGGCGGCCCTGTGAGAAAGCAACAGGGCGCTTCCAGAGGGATTTCCAAAGAAAGCCTTTTTATTAGCCCCGGCTTTCTGGAAGTTTTATTCAAGTTGGATGAACTTCAAAGGGATCACAGAGCAGACTCAGAAATGTACCCAAAGTCTAGATGCTTATCCAAACTGCCTGAAGCCTTCAAACCGGCTGTCAAATCTCGCCAGAACTGGTATTTCCAGCACATTGCTGAAAATCCCTTCTCTGGTTGGGCCCCCAAATACCAGGAGACCAGCCTATTGATGACTTTTCAGAACCTTTGCCCTATTTTTTTCCTGCCAGGAGCAGAGGTGTGCTGGCAGTCAGAGGAATGAAATCAGAAAGACTCCTGAGCATGCCTGAGGGTCTCACATGATGTTTTTAGATAAAGGAGGAGTCTATTCTTTTTTCATCACACCCCAGCTATTCTCAGTTAACCCTGTTCTCACATAAAACATTAAAAAGCAAATGCATCATCTTTGCATTGAAGTCGCAGCCAAGGTTTGGACGGTCGAGGAGGACAGATGTTAAAGCACTCCCGTTGGAAGGCCAGCCTCCTCTTCCAGCCCAGCGTGCAGGGCACTAACTGACGATGGGCCTTATGATTAGGAGCATGTTGGCCCAAGCAGAAAGAAAGAGAAGCAAGGACCAGCTGTGGAATTGAGCAGGTTGGCTTTGAAGGCCAGAGGGGAAAATTGCTATGAGAAAACATCAAATTCATCCCCTCTAAGGGTGGCTGGGGAATCGATCCTTGCAGAGTAAATGATGCTTTCTTCACTTTTCTTCCTAAGTCAAATTCATGCTGCTCTTAGGGGATTCTACGACAGTCTAGGTTTAAGCTTTCATGATTTGAACGCTTGTCTCCGTAGAGTTTGAAATTGCTGTATTTTCTTGGACCATGAAGAACCAGATGGAAAGCTGAATTTTATAGTCTCTTCTGTTACTGTGGTCAGCAAAAAAATCCATGGATCTTGCTCATCGGTTCGGGAACTGGATAAGCTGAAGAGAAAGGAAGGAGGGGTGTATGCCTTCTGTTCCTCTTAGCTTTTCCACATTCCCACCCTGTTATTCTTCTACCTTCATTTCTTAGCCTATTCCAGGCTTTTATGGCAACACACAAATCATTCAGATTGGCAAAGTCTAACTTGATAAGTCCATTTCTTTTTCCTACTTTGTGCCAGGAACTGTACTAGGCTCTAGGGATCCCAAGACAAACTAGACAGATGTGGCCCCTGCCTCCCACAGTGTCTATGGGTAGAACAGACAGTTAAACAAGCAATTACAATAGAGTGGGACGACAGGGTAGTGCCAGGTGCCAGGGGAGTGCATAGCTGGGGGACCTAACTGTCTAGACAAAGAGAGATGGATCCCAGCAGAGGGAACAGCACATGCCAGGATCCAGAAATGACTGGGTGCAGTAGGCTAAGTGACAGGAGACAGGGCAATGTAGCTGGATTGTGGAGCTGGGGTGAGTAGGGGGGAGACAGTGGGAAGCCACTGATGGGTTTCACACAAAGGTGTGTCGAGTCAGGTTTGCCTAATTGGGAGGCATTCTTCATGGCAGCATGAAGAATGGACTGGAAGGTCCTGAATTTGAGAAGTCCTTTGCTCTGGAACGTGGAGAAAAGGCTGCTGCATATCTACTCCGCAGAGAAAAATCCAAAAGTTGATGCTTCTGGAATGTAAATTTTCCTTTTGTCATAATATTTCCTCTGTCACCAGAATTCAACAGAATCTAATTAGATTCTTTCTCCACATAGGGTTTGTTAACCTCTTTTAAGAATAGATCTTTTTCTGTGGTCGTCCTGAATGTCTCATGGGAATAGAACATGTCATTGTACCCCTCTTATAATCCCATAATGGAAGGGGAGTGTGGCCAAATTGCCACGTCTGTTGTTCTCATTTTTCAGTTGATTCTGTGGAAAGTTGCAAATCATCCTCTGATCCACAACATCCAACTGGAATTTAAATTTCAGAACTGGATCTAGTTGGAATCAAAGAGAATTAATTCCATAATAATTAGGTGGGTGTTGGTATTCCTTCTCAGTAAGCCATGCAGGAGTTTAGCACAGAGCCAGGAGGCTGCTGGGATGCTGAGTCCCTAGAGGAGGAAATATTTTCCAGTGGATGGGCCTTTCATTACTGAGCTCTGCCTCACCTCCAATGGGTCAACCACAGGGCTTCCGTAAATGCAGGAAAGTGCTCCGTGCTCTAAAAAGAGCTGGGATCCAAGATTTTTCCTTTGGCTAAAATTGAAACAATAACAGGAACTTCCCCACCCACCTCTGTCTGCCTCAGGTAGTTGAGGTTTTGGAAATGAGTTGATTGTTTTTCAGTCTTTGGAAGATCTTGATCTCTCTTTCATCCAGGCCCCTCCAAAACAAACACACCTGGACCTGCTGCAAGCTTTCAGAGGCAAGCCCTGGATGTTGGCTTTGGCTGGTGTCTGCCTGAGAGAAGCTTGATTGCCCTGCCCCCAAATAGCACAGACCTCTGACAGAAAGTGTTCCTAAGAGCCCTTTGCCAGCAGAGGGGAATGGGGGTAAAGAATCCTCATAGCAGTTGAATCCTTAGCACCTGGATCAGAGGCTGGCAAGTGGTAGGAACTCAACAGGCTAATACATTTGTGGAATAAATGTTTGTCACATGACCCCAGTTGGTAGGCCAGGTGTCTCTCTCCAGGCAAATATCCCCTTGACCTTCAAAGTGGACTTCAGGACGTCTTCCTTTCTGAGATTTTGCAGTTCAATTTCACCAATATCTTTTGAACTGGGGGGTTATAAAGGTGAAGAAGATGTGACCTACTAATTATTAAATCCTGAGTAGTTAAAAGAATGTAGACCTGAATTCAAATCCTGACTTCCCAATTAATCTTTTCTGGTAACTGGAAAGTCACTTAGCCTCTCTGAGCCTTATCTCCCCATTACAGATAGGTAATAGTATCTATCTCAAAGGACTGTGGTGAAAATTAAACAACACATAGTACTTAGCACCAAGTAAACATTCAGTACATAATAATAACAACCACTAACGTGTACTGAATTCATGCTAGACACTATTCTAGGTGCTGGGGATAGAGGAATAAGTAAGAAAATGGCAATCCTACAATATACATATACAATACAGGGCAATTCAAGTAGTGACATGTATTATGAAAAAATAATGTATAGTGATATGACAGATGACCGGAATGTGTGTGTGTGGGGGGCGGTGTACTTTAAATGTTGTGTCAAGGAATGCCCCCTCAGGTGATAATCTGAACTGAGATCTGGATGACAAGGAGGAGGCAACCAGTGAAAAGTCCAGTGTTCCAGGTAGAGGGAAGAACTAATCCAAAGATTTGGAGGCAGGAACGAGCACAGTTCATTCCAGGAGCAGCAAGACCATGCCAGCATAGCTAGAGTCAATCAAGGAGTTCAGCAATGGCAGGAAGTGAGGCTGGAGACCCGGAGACATGGGTAGAGTCTAGGTCAGACAGTGCCATGAAGATCATTATGATGAGTTTAGCTTTTATTATAAGAGTGATGGGAAGTCCCTGGAGGACTTTAAGTCAGTGAATGGCTTTATCTGATGTACATTTTAAGACAGTCACTTTGCTCTCTGGAGAATGGAGTGTGGAAGAAAGAGTGAAAGCAGGGACACTGGTAAGGAAGCTAGTGTAGTGATCAGGCAAAGACAATGGCATCTTGAACTAGAGTAATAGTGCAAATAGGGAGAAAAGAGCAGATGTGTACATTTTTTAATTAGAGCAAAGGAGATGGGGGGGTGGAGAAATAGGAATATGAGACTGATCCTAGGTTTTTGACCTGAGTGACTGGGTGGATTTTCTGAGGTGGAAAGCAATGAGTTTTGGGGAGAACACTAAAAGAGAACTCTTATACAAGGCAGGCTGGAATATGGCACAGTGACAGTACCAAGTACAAAGGGATACTGGCAAGAGAGTGGTTAATTCTGGAGCTAGGGGAAATGTGGGAGGGTTAGGTAGAAAATGGGATTGGAACTGAGCCTTGAAGACTGGAGATGGCAGGGTTGCTGGCCTAGGTGAAAGGAGTGGTTTGAGCTTAAGTCTGGGCATGAGCAGGTACAGTAAGCTCATTTCCAAATTTACCTATTTGTTTCTGACAGTTAAGAAAACTGAGAGCAGGCCGGGCTTGGTGGCTCAGCCTGTAATCCCAGCACTTTGGGAGGCCAAGGCGAGTCGATTGCCTGAGCCTATGGGTTCGAAACCAGTCCGGGCAACTTGGTAAGACTTTATCTCTAAGAAAAAAAAAAAAAAAAAAGCTGGGCGTGGGAGCACATGCCTGTAGTTCTGGCTACTTGGAAGCCTGAGGCGGAAGGACCGCCTGAGCCCAGCAGGTCGATGCTAGGGTGGCTGTTAGCATGCCACTGCACTCCAGCCTGGTGACGGAGTGACTCTAACTCAAAAAATAAAAAGAAAAAGAAAACTGAGAGTCCGAGGGGTTAAATAACTTGCCTGAGATCAAACAGAAAGTGATAAAACCAAGATCCTCACTCCAAAGTGGAGGTGCTGAGTGGTGGAATTGACCAGAGGAGTTCAGAGTGGAAGACAGACTGGGGCTGTAAGACATACGTCTGGAAAGGTGAGGGTGGATCAGATTGTGAAGGGCCTGGACTGCCAGGATGAAGAGACTGGGCCTTATTCTGTTGGTGTGGATGAAAAGCATCCATCACAGGCTGTGCAATGGGTAAATAGCATGATCAGCACTGTGATTTTGGAAAGTGCTTGGCTAGATGATTAGATACTGGATAACACTGCGTGACACTAACGTATTCATTTGTTTATTTGAAACATAAAGTGTTAGGACCTGTGCTAGGTTCTGTGGTTATAATGACAAGCAAAAACAAAGACAACCCTTGCCTGCATGGAAGGACTTGACAAATTAAATAAGCACGCAAACAGTGTAGAAACTGAACACCCAGCAAGTACATGATGCTGAGGTCACTTAGTAACTGGCATGTGACCTGCTATGGGACTGCTGTAGACTTCCCTGCTGAGAACTGGGCATCCATTGACCATGGTTCTAGGCCACACTCTGCCGCTAACCACTGTGAACTAGGGCAAGTCACTGCCTTTCTGGACCTCAGTTTCTCTATTTACGAAGAAAAAAGTACTAATCCAAATTTCCTCCAATGCGAAGAGTTTGGGATTTTCTTATCCAAAGACCAAAGATCCGTATCTCACCCTAAGGTTACTAGCTGGCACCCGGTGTCTTGATATTGAAATAATTCCGCCATCGCCTCTATGCTTTCCAGGAGGCCTCAGTTGGTTCCCCGTTGTCATGGCAACCACCGGTCCCTCTTGGGGCAGAAACTCGAAGTCACGATACCAACTACGCCACTATCATGCGTCCCATTTGGCAGGTTATAACGTGGCCTCCGCGGCAACACCCCACCCAGGCTTCTCACTAAATACCCAGGCCTGACCAGCCCTGGGGCCTATTCCAGGTCGGAAAAGGGATAAACAGGCGGGCCAATACAGCCAGCAAGACTTCCGGAAATCTCCACCTGACTCTGAGCTCCTCGGGTCTGTCAGATAGGCTCCGCCCACCTCCCTGATCGTCACTTCCGTCAACCAACAGCGCCTAGGATTGACAGTCACCGATGTCCAATCAGGTGCAGGTCCAAGCCCGGATGAGGGGCGGGTTTGACAGCGGGAAGCCCCGCCCCTTGCCAACGTGTGACGTCAGAATCGCCATGGCCAGCTATCCGTACCGGCAGGTGAGTGTGTGAAGGGCCCTCGAATCCAGGTAGGGGCCGTGCCAAGCCTTTCTTCCTACTTTCTCCGCTCCCTTCCCACACTGGGTTCGCTTCGGCGTAGGCCTCGCACGGGAGAACGGAAAAGGGACCGTCGGTCGCGCCCAGCTTACGTCACGCGGACCGAGCGACCGGGAGGTCGTGTCGCGCCCCCTTTGACGTCGCGCACGCGAAGATTTGGGGACCTTGGGCCCCACAGGTCCAGGTTGGCCCCAGCCTGGGCTCCACGCCTTCCCAAGCCTGCGATGGGGGCCCTGGCCGAGGGCGTCAGTGCTGGCGAGACGCTTAGTGCTCTGGTTCCGTTAGTATCATTTGGGGCGTCGGATAAAAATAGAAGTTTCCAGACCCACCTCACATGTGCTGCATCCGAATAATCAGGAGAATCTGTAGTTGTGACAGGCGCCACAAGTGAGCTGGTTTGACCACTGACTCATTCCAACACTTCCATTTCACACATAGGGAAAGTGAAACCCCAGGAAGACCCAACTTACCTGAAGTCACCAGGCATTTAGGCAGCAGAGCAGAGGTCAGAACCTGGAATGTCTGCTGATGTCTCTTTCCCCACTTGGCTGCCATTCTTGGTTCAGCCAAGAACACCGCAGTAAGGTGACTCTGTGGCCAGAATTCTTTGTTGGGTGACAGAATAGTAGGATGGTTAAGTGCAGTATGGAATCAGCGGCACATCACATCTCGGCCCCATCACATTAATAGTTTTGAGCCTTTGAGCAAGGTGTTCTGCCTTTTTGGGTCAGTTTTCTCTAAAATAGGGCTGAATAACAGGGTCTTCCTCATAGAGCTGTTATGAAGTGCAGTGATGTGATGCTTGTAAAGCATCTGCTATGTAGTGAGGTGTAACACGTATTGTCTTTTAGTATTTTAATTTTGCTCATGTCCTAGAAGGTCAGTGCTGGGAGGGCCCTCAAAGTAGCCTTATTTTACAGAGGAGAAAACTGAAACCCAGGGAGGGGGGTCTTGAGTTGCCCAGGATTACACAGTAATTTAGGAGATAAAACTCATGCAGAAAAAAATTGAAAAACAAGATCAAATGGGATATTACAAAGTGCTCGATAGATTATGGTCACATGCCAAACAATGTGGTAAGAGTGCTTCCAGTGAGTGTGGCCCTGTACACTTTACACAGTATTTGGACCCCCATTTCCCCCAAACATGAAGCACCTATAAGTGATGCAGGGGTTGTTACTCTCAATTTACAGCTGAAGAGCAAACCCAAAGAGCTTAAGTGGCTTGCCAAAAGTCACACACAGCAAGTGAGGGTGAGGCCACGACTGGAGCTTCAGACTCTTTTCATTTCTTCCTTAGCAGGTTGGAAGGAGAGAGAACAGTGGGCTTGAGTTAGGAGAAAGTAAAATGTAGTAGTTTCCCACATTCTGTTCTGTTTACTGAGTCTGGAAAGATGTTAATAGTTATTGTTAATAGAGGAGAATTCTGTGGTTAAATCCGTGTGGAGAATGCTGTCAAATACAGCTGAATTTATTTCAAAATTCTTAATTTGCTAATGTACGTTGTAAATCTTCCAGAAGGGAATAGACTATGAAGTATTTTTTAAACTTATTTAACAGTAGAGCTTCCTCACTTTTTTTAAGTGTCTGGACATTTTTATGACACTGGTATTTCTGAGGAACATGATTTGGGAGAACACTGCCATCATGCATTGTTTCTCAGTGCTCGGTCTTCTGTCTCAGAATCACCTGAGAGCTTGTTTTTAAAAATGCACTTTGGGTTCCACCTCAGACCTGTTCTGTGTCCAGGAATCTACATTTTAATAAGCTTTTAAGGGTAATTTATATGTATCCTAGAAACAGTGACAGGTTAGACAGAACTGGGCTAGAATTCTAACTCTGTTGCTTAAGTTGCATGCCCTTGGACAAACCGTCTAAAAGGCTCTGAGCCTCAGTTTCCTTACCTATTAAAAAAAGAAATAACACCTGTATCAGAAAGATTGAAATGAGAATGACATGCAGTAAAGCCTGTAGGGAACTTGGCACATTGCTAGTATATAGTACATGCCAGTGTTTGGTAGCAGCTCTTGCTGTGATTGCTCTTATTATGCCATGCTGTCTGGGTTGTGCTTGGAGTGGAATGCTGAAAAGGAGCACAGAGAGAAAAATGTCTGAAAGAGAAAAAATGGTACTTTCCCCCCCATTATTCCCTTGTCTGCCTCCTGGTCCAGGTATTCTAAAAAAAAAGGAAATGAGTTGTTTTAAAGCGTCTCAGTCAGAGCTGCCTCCCCTCCACTCACTGTCTAGCCTTAAAGGGTTACAACCTATTGTCAGGAGTCAAAATTCTCATAATTTTCCACTGCCTCCAGCCCAGGGTTCTCAAGCGTGGACTGGGTATTGAAGTAGTAAAACTCAATACTTTTGTCCTGGGGGGATCCAGCTTGATGGCTTTCAGTGACCAAGAACTTGGTCTCTGAGACTGGAGAGATTTGGCTTCAAATCCCTGCTTTGCCACTTCATTGTAGAAGTTTGTTGCAACTCTGAAGCTCAGTGTTCCCTCCTTTAGAATGGGGTCATAACAGTACCTACCTCAAAATTACTGTAAGGATTAAATGAGGCAATCCACGTAAAGTGCATGTAGTGTTTTGCATGTAGTAAATATTCCCAGTAGAATAATAATTACAGTAATGTAGATCAAAGGGTCAGTGTGATAAGTATTAAATGGAAATAAGTGTAGAAAGCACAGGAGGGGTACCTACCTCAGTCTAAGGGTGCATAAAGACTTCTTTTTTTTTTTTTTTTGAGTTGGAGTCTCACTTGGTTACCCAGACTGGAGTGCAGTGACTGCTCTCGGCCACTGCAGCCTCACCTGCTGGGCTCCGGCGATCCTTCCGCCTCAGCCTTCCGAGTAACCGGAATTACAGGCATGCGCTACCACGCCCGACTGATTTTTTGGTTTATTGTAGAGATGAGGTCTCACTGTCCAGGCAGGTCTCGAACTCGCGGGCTCAGGCAATCCGCTCACCTCGGCCTCCCAAAGGCGCGGGATTAGAGGCTGAGCCACCGAGCCCGGCTGCATAAAGACTTCTTAATGGAGGTGACATTTAAGCCAAAAACGGAAAGACCAGTAGGAGTTAGCTGGGTGAAGAAAGGACTGGTATTCCAGCAGAGGAAAGAGTTGGAGAAAGCCCAGGAAGCAAGTAAGACAGCCCAATATTTTGGAGAACCTTTAAGAAGATGAGTCTAGTTGTATTGAGGGGGAAACAGGTAAGAAATGAGACCAGAAAGGTACGCAAGAACAAGATCCAAAGGGCCTGGTATGCCTATTTGGGCAGTGTGACTTGACCTTAAGAGGAGTGAGGGAGCCAGTGAAGGGTTTTGTCCTTTGTGGTTTAAGGTACTGTGAGAATGGATGCAGTAATCTAGGCTGGAGAGAGGTAGAGTCAATTTGGGAGGTAGAGTTGAGAAGATTTGGTAACAAATTGAGGCGATGGAAGGGAGGTGCCCAGGAGGGCACTTCAATCTTTTGGTTTGGGTGTCTGGGTAGAATGGGGATCCATTCACTGAGATGGGAACACAGAGGGAGAAATAGGTTTGGCGGGAAGGTCCAGGAGGCTGTTGGATATGTGAGTCTGAACCTCAGGAGAGATGAAGCTGGAAACAAAGATTCTGAAATGTTAGCACAAGGTGGTAATTGAAGTCTTGGACAGTGCTTAGCTCCTTGTTTATTGGTTGCATGTTTCTGTCCTATTTTAAGAGGCTCTGCTGGTGAATGCCCGAACCATTCCTTCTGACTGCTTGTGATTGTTTAGCCTCTTAGCTTGGGTTCCCACCTCCTCCAGCTGGCACTTAGTGGTAGCTCTGGGGCACAGGCTTGTCTTTTAAGTGCATCCTCCTTCCTTCCTAGCAGGGCTCAGCTTGTGGTAGCCTTTGATACCTCGAGCTTCACAAGTCTTGAGAGTAGCAGAATGAACCCTCAGAACTGGAAGAAAATATGAGACTTTGTGAGTGGGTTATTTGGGAGGAGGTAAGCACCCCATATCTACCGGAGTGCAGAGAGATTCCAGGTGGTGCTGCAGAGATTGCATTCTCACCCAAGGCCAGATTGGAGGATCTCCTTCAGGATGTGGCTCTCAAACTGATTCTAGGTGCTGAGGTGAAAAAAGAATATAATTCTTCTGCGATTCCCTGATTTCTGGTCTTGAAGGCTCTGAAAGATCACCTAACCCAGCCTTTCCCCCTCCACCCCCTTCCCCTGTAGACATCCATCATATCTGATAGAGACATTTAGAGCAATGCCTGGCACAAGGCACACACAAGGCACTCACTCATTGAGAGAACAAACAGAAAGGGAGTAGTGTAGGATCATGCAGACCCTACTTTGAATTCCAACTTGCCCATTCTAAATGCATGATCTCGGGCACATAATTAAACTTTGTACCTTAATTTTCTCATCTGTACAATAGAGATAATAGCAATTACTTCACAGAACTGAGGATCAGTGAGAGCTGATTGAACTGGAAGTACCAATAGAGCCTCAAAAAATGTTCATTGCCTCCCATCCCCAATATATCAAATATAGCTTATTTGCAATCAGCCAGAGACTCAGTGATAGTTTTTCGGTGATGCTTTGGAAGCCACAATCACTGAACTCATCCTGTCTTTTTTCCTTCTTTTACTATCTTATGTTTATCAATATGAAATGCCCTTGGAAAAACTCTCAAAAGGGAGAGCAGCATGGCATAGTATACATGAACATGGAGGCAGGGACTCTGGTTTTCACTTCTGGTTCAGACCTTTACTGACAACTCAGTGACCCTGGGAACCATCTCATCATCTTCCCCCAAATTCCTCTGCAGCCTGGATTCTGACTCAGTTCGTGACTCCACCTCCTTCATCTTGTGCGAGCTAGACACCTGAGTCATTCTAAAGACTTTCCTCACTCCCTCTCCATCTCTTTCCTAATCTAATTAGTCACCAAGTCATGTCTAGCCTATCTCTGAAATAGCTTCAGAAACCATTCCGGTCTCTCCATCCCTAAGTGTGCTGTCTGGTTCCTGCCCTGCCTGCCCAGCACCAGGGCTGCCTCCCTGCTTGCTCATCCTCTACACCGCTGCTGCTTGCTTCTGTAAACAAGGTTCTGATCATGTTCCTCCCCTACTGGAAACCCTTCTATGGTGCTCTGTTTTCTCCGGCATAAAGCCCAAACTCTTTATAGTGGTGTTCATTTGTTCAAATATTTATGGAGGCTCACAGGTGCCAGGCACTGTGCTGGGCCCTAGGGTACCATGATGAATGAGGCCCAGTATCTGCCCTGGAAAGCCTACTGTGGGGTAGAAGGAGATGCTAGACAGATAGAAACTACTCTTGGACACCGGGAACCACCAGCTGACTGAAACGCAGCGGGAGAAGTGCTCAGTCAAGGAGTGTGTAAAGGGTTGGCCTTTCTGAGTCACACTGCTTTCTTGCCTCTACCTTTTAGCCCCTTCCCTGTCCACACCATGCTCACTCATAAGTCTGTGCCTTTGCCTTTCTTTTCCCTCTGTCTGTGGTGTCCTTCCCTGCCTTCCTTATGTATCCTTCAAGGACCAACGCCAACATCACTGCTTCCCTTGACCCACTCTTGCATTGTTCATCTGATTGTTCATTCAGCAAACAGAACAGATTCCTCTGTCCCAGTTCCTTCATAGCATCATGGCACTGATCAGACTGTATCATAATTATCTGTGGGCTCCTCAAGGGCAGCCCCATTTAGTTTTGTGTCTCCAGGCCACACAGAGCCTCGCACAATATTGTTACTCTATAAGTGCTTGCTGAAAGAAGTCATTTAGCCACTCAGTACCTTCGTTTCTTCTTCTGAAACACAGGCCTACTAACATTTTCCTTTTTTCTGTCAGGAGGCTGTTGGCAAGCTTCTACCAGTAGTGTTTGTATATGTGAAAGTACTTGGCAAATTACACGGGTGGGCTTTAACGCAGGGCAGAAAGGAAAGGGTGTAGTTGTTGCCAGACTGCAGCAGGCCCCTGGAATGTGATAGCAAAATGGCAGAAGACCTGCCTGCTTTGTTAGCCTGGTAGCATTTCGCAGGTGGAAGGACTGCGCCCCAGGTCCCGTTGGCCAGGTACAGTTTAGAACTTTGCTCACAGGGCTTACAGTGGAGCGGCTACTTCCTGGCTTGGTTTCCAGCCTGTTCTTGGGTGTGCCCAGACTCTGCAGGTCCCCATGCCCTTTCCACCCCAGGCTGGAATCCTGTGCCCTGTTGCCTCAGGAAAGAGCACTGTAGCAGGAGGTAGTGGGAGTCATTGGATTCAGGGGTGGTATAGGGCACTGGGTTTGCCCCTGCTTTTGCCTCTAGCTCACAATATGATTTGGCCAAGTCCCTCCCCTTTCCCAGCTTTAGTTTCACCATCTTTAAAATGAAGGGGTTTGATCAGGCTCAGTGGCTCAGCCTGTGATCCCAGCACTTTGGGAGGCTGAGGCAAGCGGATTGCCTGAGCCTGCTGGTTTGATATCAGCCTGGGCAACTCGGCGAGACCTCATCTCTACAATAAATCAAAAATTTGCTGGGTGTGGTAACACGCGCCTGTAGTTCTGGCTACTTGGAAGACTGAGGCGGAAGGATCGCCGGAGTCCAGCAGGTTGACGCTGGGGTGGCCGTGAGTGTGCCACTGCACTCCAGCCTGGGCGATGGAGTGAGACTCCCAACTAAAAAAATAAAAATAAAATAAATAAAATGAGGGGGTTAGGTTAAGTGACTGGTCTTCTGGGTACCTCTCCTGTCATACCTCTCCAGCCCCCTTGGGAATCTTGTTCATTCTTTAAGTCCTAGCTCAAATGCCACCTCCTTGTGGAAACTCTCCCTGATTTTACCCTCTTTTCTTTGCAGCCTCATGGCTTATGTGTCCATCTCAAACACCTGTTTCCCTACGCTGCTCTGTTACACATTTCAGAGAGTGTCTCCATGCCTCTTCTGTTAATTGTGAGCTCCTTAGACTCTCACTCTCCTTTATACACAGAGTTCATGTGGCCCAGAATTTTGCTGATGATAATAATATAATTTTAACAATAGCAGCTGTGATTTACTGATCATCTGCTTTATGCTTTATGTTGTAAAAACTACTTTTCTTTCTTTCTTTTTTTTTTTTTTGAGTTGGAGTCTCACTCTGTTGCCTAGACTGGAGTACAGTGGCTGCTCCCGGCCACCGCAGCCTCGACCTGCTGGGCTCCGGCAATCCTTCCGCCTCAGCCTTCCAAGTAGCTGGAACTACAGGCCCGTGCTACCACGCCTGGCTAATTTTTGATTTATTGCGGAGATGAGGTCTTGCCAAGTTGCCCAGGCGGGTCTCGAACCCGCAGGCTCAGGCAATCCACTCACCTCAGCCTCCTAATGCGCAGGATTACAGGCTGAACCACCAAGCTCAGCTAAAACTACGTTTCTTATATTAGTGGTTTTCAGACTCTCTTAAGTCGTTGTGAGGGTTCTTCAGAATCTAGCAAGGGAAAAAGACCTCAGATGGTTTGGGCCCTGGAACCCTCACCTTCCTTCAGCCAGGCAACTTTCTTTTATCAGTTTTATTTATTTGCTTAAAGGATTCTTTAGCTAAAAATTAGACAGAATTTTACTGCATTTATTTTCTGTAATCCATAGAACAATCCAATGAAGAAGGGATTATTATATATTATTTGTGTGGAAGCAGGCTAGAGAGATTAAGCCACTGGCCCACAGCCATGAACTTAGGTGATGAGAGCAGAGTTTCAAATTGAAATCTGTCTGTGACTTCATTGCGAAGGAGTCTTGCTTGTAGCTACGGCAGCTTCCAGGGAAGAAGAGCTTCCACGATGCTGAGTGAGGCAGGTAGCAGGCCCTGCTTTTTCTGCTCTCCCCCAAGAAGCCGAGGGCAAGCAGGCCCCCTTTAGATGAAGTGTGAATTTGGCCTGAGCCTTGAGGATAATGGTTCTTAGAAACTATCGAACACAGTGAAAAGAGGAAGTCCAGGTTCTAAGTGGCTAGGCCACCGGGATACCTGCAGGTTGATTTAGAACATGTCTAGATGGTACCATCCTCAGAGCCGAGCCCAGCTACTCTCTGTGCCCTTGAACTCAGCTTGTCTGCAGGTGTGTTCCGGCTATGTTCTGCCAGGTCCTGTGCTAGCCATCTAGGGAGATGGAGTGGAATACTCTGAGCCTCGAGGACCCCTGGTTAGTGGGAGATGGACAAGGGAGGGAATGGCCCCTGTGTGCTCTAATGCACAGATGCCCTGCACTTAGAGTCAGGAGACCTGAGTTCTGGTTCCCTCCACACAACCTATGTGTGATTTTTCTGGACTTGACTTTTGTCCTCTGTAGGGGGCTATTGTTAATAGTTAATATGTATTGAGTACGCATTGTGTGCCAGGCCCTGTATCAGACTGCTTCCCATGACTGATCTCATTTCATTCACATAGCAACCTGCGAGGTAGGTACTACGATTATTCGCATTTGACAGCAGAAGATACTCAGTCTTAGAGAGGGTATGTCATTAGTCCAGTTAGTAAGTGAATTGGTCTTTCTAGCCATTGTACCATATTGCCTTAGGAATAGGGTCTCCCCTGCCTGCCTCACAGAGTATGAGGACCGGAAAATGTTTTTGTGTGCGGAGCTACAGTTGGATAAGGAAGGTATGCTATGGGTGCTGTGAATGCGTATTTGTGACTGATGAGGGGCAGGGGTATGTTGGAGACTACATTTGCCCTGTGAATTCTGCAGGTAGAGATGGGGGTACCACAGGGTGGACATTTGGAATTCTGCTTGATTCATTTTCCTACTCATTCATATAATAAATATTTACTGAGCATCCATTCTACACTGGGAACTGGGGATAAAGTGACAAACCAGACATGATCCCAGCCCTTGTGGAGCCCTTCGCGTACAGGAAAAGGGAGTCAGGAAGGCAGGATTCCAGCCCTGACTCTGTAGGTCATTGGCGGTGTGACCTCAGATAACTCATAACTACTCTAGAAGCCTCAGTTTGCTCATATGAGCAATGGGTTCATAATTCCAGTTGAGAGAATGGTAGTGGAAGTGCTTTATAGCTGTAGAGTACCATACTATGGCTAGTGTCCAGCCTCATCATTCTGACTGATATCTTGCTCTTCCTCCAGGGCTGTCCAGGAGCTGCAGGACAAGCACCAGGAGCCCCCCCGGGTGGCTACTATCCTGGACCCCCCAACAGTGGAGGGCAGTATGGCAGCGGGCTACCCCCTGGTGGTGGTTATGGGGGTCCTGCCCCTGGAGGGCCTTATGGACCACCAACTGGTGGAGGTTCCTATGGAACTCCAGGAGGACCATACGGTGGTGCAGCCCCAGGGGGCCCCTATGGTCAGCCACCTCCAAATTCCTATGGTACCCAGCAACCTGGGCCTTATGGACAAGGTAAGAAGGGATCTTGGGCTCCGGGTGCCTCTGACCTGGTTCTGCATTATCTTCAGCCTGTCCTTGTCCTTCCTGTGGATGTGCAGGCACCCTGGGCTTTAGCACCTTAGCATCTTGCCTCTGGCTTCAGCTTGCATCAGCAGAGTGAGAAGTCTGTCAGTTAGCTTTGTTACAAACATTTAGTTCTTTTTTGCTTGCTCACAATGACTGAGATTTGCTTGCATGTCAGCAGCTGTTGGTTGGCTGTTGAGTTTCTGTTTCGTATGTCTTTTTGTTCTGGAATCCAGGCTGATGGAGCTGCCCCTATTTGGGATATGTTACCTTTGTGGCCAAGAAAAAGAGCAGGAGACCTGGCAAGAATGCACAGTGCCTCTTAGTTTCTGCTCTTCCACTCACATGCATTTGGCCAGAGCACATCCCCTGCTCAGGCCTGACATCAGTAGGATGGTAATGAATGCTCCTCTCACAGAGGAGCTCTGCATGCCACCAGGCTGTGAAAGAGGTCATATAGTCTTCTTACAGGCAAAGGGAGATTAGCAGATAATTGGAAACAATAATATAGTCTACCTTGGGGAGTGACTCCGTTTAAATATCCCTTCCTCTGTGAAAATGTCTCAGACTATACACATTCTGGGCTCTTTGTAAAAAGACTTTATTTTGCTGTTATCTCATTTAATCATCACAGCAACCTTGGGACAATGGATTCATTTTAGAGTTGAGGAAATCATTATTCAGAAAATTACACATTTTGCAGAAAGTCACACAAGCTAGCAAGGTTCAGAGCCAGGGTTTGAATTCAGGTCTGCTTTGCTTCCAAAACCAGAGTTCTTCTATACAAATCACACAAACTGCACGTGTCACAGAAACTCTTCTGCCCCAGGGCTGTGTCCCTGCTCCCCCATGACACTACTGTTTTAAAAAGTTGGGTGGAACCTGTCTGGATTTCCCATCCAGGGAAGTCAGACTAGTCCCTCATTCAGAAAAACCTTTTTCCCTCTGGCCTTCCTGGGTTTTGGGGCTGGGCAGTGGTTTCTGTTCTCCACAACTGCTCATGGCTGTCTCTGATACTTCTTGTGTGAAGGGGCCCCTTATGTGGCCCGTTTACTCAGTAGTCTAAGATGGACAGATTTACCTGCTTCTCCACTTTCATCTACCACCCTTTCCCCCGTCCCTCAACTCACCTTTTCCAGAGAGTTCTTGATATGCCTGAAGGGAAACAGGTTCCTCTTCCTCAGAAATAAAAAAATCAGAGTCATGGCTGGAGCATTATACAAAAAGTCCAAAGGTCTCATGAAGTAGAAATCAACTGCAAATACTCGTGAGTCTATACCAAAGGCCCTCTTCCATCAGAGGATGTCAACTCTGATAGAAGACAGGGGGTGGGTGAATTTGTGAGGCTTTATTGGTAGGAAAAGCCTGTAGCTAGGGAGTCACAGCATTTCTCCCAATTGGCTTTGAGATCTGGCCCTTCCCAGCATTTCTCCTGATTGGCTTTGAGACCTGCGTCTGACCCCCTGGTTCACACCCCTTCCTCCAGGTGGTGCCCCTCCCAATGTGGACCCTGAGGCCTACTCCTGGTTCCAGTCAGTGGACTCCGATCACAGTGGCTACATCTCCATCAAGGAGCTGAAGCAGGCTCTGGTCAACTCCAACTGGTCCTCGTTCAATGATGAGACATGCCTTATGATGATAAGTGAGTTCCAGCTCTTCCCATGGGTGTGAACTGGGGCAGAGCCACCTGATAGTTGACAGTAGGTGGGTGGGTGGCCATTCTGAAGAGAAAGCCTTTATTCAGGGAGGATTTCAAGGAGGAAGATGAGTTCAAGGTGAGATCCCCTTGCCTTAGATCTTTCTCAAGTTCCAGACCCTGCTGAGTTACAGACTAACTCAGCTTCCCATTCTACAGAATGGCTCTCCTTCCCTGGTAGGAGATGGCAGGGTCAGCTGCCAAGTCTGCAGAGAAAATTCAGTTCTGGATGGGATGGGGCTGAGGTGGCCAGGGGAGGAGGTTGATGCAACACTTGATGTGGGTGTCTTGGGTGCAGGCATCTGGTGGTTCTGTGGAATCACCTATTCCAACCTGCAGAAGGGCTGCCTCAAAGTTTCCTGAGGGCCCTTGACCCTCAGTCTTGAAGCTTTTCTCCCTTGCTTCCCCTTCCCTCAGACATGTTTGACAAGACCAAGTCAGGCCGCATCGACGTCTATGGTTTCTCAGCCCTTTGGAAATTCATCCAGCAGTGGAAGAACCTCTTCCAGCAGTATGACCGGGACCGCTCGGGCTCCATTAGCTACACGGAGCTGCAGCAAGGTGGGGGGCCATGGTAGGGTGCACGGTGGGCAGGGTAGAGCTAGACTCTTCTGTTTACTCCCTAAGGCACAGCAGGGGGCTTTCCTTTCGCTACCACATGTTCACCTGCACTACAAAATGCTATCCTTAGTGCAGGCCCATACCCTCAGCCCCTGTGACCTGACTGAGGCACTGAGCCAAGATCCAGGGCAGGGAAACACCTGGTCCAGACTCATGGCTGGACTCCCTGGTGACAGGGATCCTGGCAACACTGGGTGAGACAGCCCCAGCCGGCTGTGAGCCTTACGGATGGATGTGTGGCATCTCAGGGCACTTTGAGTGTGTATGGCTTGGGTGGCTCTTCCCAGTTTCTAGCATGTAGAATGGAAAGAGCCCCAAAGAGGGGCTCAGAGAGATGGTCTGTTGCCACCTCTGCTGGAAGACAGTTTCTTTCCCAGCTATGGGAACCCACATATTCTAAACATTACAGTTAGGGAAGATGACCCCAGGTCACAGCCCCAGGACTGACTCCATAGGGCTAGAGCCTGCAGCTTGGGCTCAGGCCAGCTGGTGAGTGGCTAATGGGGTTAAGAACCCGACAGGGAGCTTCGCCACCCAGGCAGGGGAAGGGCTCCCCAGAGGGTCCAGTTCCTTGCCCTGGCCATGGATGTCAATCAGACTAAGGGGTGGGCAGGGGTGGGTGCATATCTGTCCCTGGTAGAAGGGAAAGGAGACAACCTGCACTGATCACCTACCCTTTTGCCAGCTTCTGTCATGGGTTTGGTAAGGATGACACTAACAACAACAAAACTGGTATTTAGTGAATGCCTGCTGAGTCCCCAGCATGGTAATGAGCACTTTAATAGATTTATATAATTCATTCTTCCCATGTGCTAGGTGCTGTTTATCATTCCATGCCCTTTGATGAAAGATCCTTTATTATCTCCCTTTTACTGATAAGAAAACTGAGGTTTAGTGTGGGTAACCTGGCCAAGGGCCCACATAGCAAATGGACCTGTGCTGGTAAGGTAGAGAAGAGGGAAGGAAGCATCCCCATGGAGGGACAGGGAGCAGTGTGTAGGCTGTGACCTTGGAGCTGTAACCTTGGAATGATGGTGATTTGATTAAACACTTGAGTATTTTTTATGTGCCGGGCACTATGCTAAGTGCTTACATGATCACCTCATTTAATCCTTTCTAGGGTCTACAAGTTAAGTATTAGCCCCATTTTAGTGGTGATAAGACAGGAACAACCTGCCCGGGACTGCCTCCAGAGTAGGTCCTTGTATCCTCTGTGCTGTGCTGCCTCTGATTTCTATCCTAGACAACGTAGTCCTGGGGGCTCAGGCTTCCTTTTGGAACACAGATCAGTCAGAGGTGATCATGGGTAGACTATTGTCATCTCTGGAATCCCTCAGGCCTTAATTGAACAGACAATATTGGAGATTTGGAGGAGGGATGAGGACCTTCCAGATAAGGGGAACATCCAAACAGAGTCCCTCCTGTGCTCCTGACATCTTGGACCCTTGGGACTTCTTGGTCCTCTTCATGCCTCTGCGCCCATCCCCTCCAAGTCCCCTGGACTGCTGTGCTCTGGTGTTGATGGTTGATGGAGGTGCTCAAGGCAGGTTTTTATGTATCTGGTCTGTGTGCCCCTCTTCTCCAGCTCTGTCCCAAATGGGCTACAACCTGAGCCCCCAATTCACGCAGCTCCTGGTCTCCCGCTACTGCCCGCGCTCTGCCAACCCTGCCATGCAGCTCGATCGCTTCATCCAGGTGTGCACTCAGCTGCAGGTGCTGACCGAGGCCTTCAGGGAGAAGGACACGGCTGTACAGGGCAACATTCGGCTCAGCTTCGAAGACTTCGTCACCATGACAGCTTCTCGGATGTTATGACCCAGCCACTCTGTAGAGAGTCACACACACCAGGGGCCTTTCCTGGCTCCCCAGGGTGGGAGAAGCATGTGGACCTCTCTTCTTTTCCTGCCCCTCTAGAAAAAGATTCTCCCTTACTTGATGCAGCATTGTTCTTAAAGAGGCTCGGGAGTCCTGCATCATAGCCACCAAATAGTACCTGGGCCCAGGACTGGGAGTTGAATGTCCTGACAGCCCTGAGCAGTTGAATGGCACAGCCTTGCACCAGGAACAGGAGGTACTGGGTGTAATGGAGTTAGTTTCTGGTCAGCTCCTGTGGCTAGCTTTCCCCTCACCCCGATGCCACGTGGTAAGTGTTCATCGGCCTGTTATCATTAGCGCCTATGTTCCTTCACCCAGACTGTCCTGCCAGATGAGCCTGTTTTCTCCAAAGTGAAATCTGACCAAGCATGAGAGAGATTCGCCCATGGGACCAGTGGCTTGGACTCCACCACACCCACAAGGCTTTGTGTGTTAACTTCTAGTTTCCTGGAGGCTGTCCCTACTCAGGGAGCTTGGACAGTCTGCTCTCTGGGCACCTCTGACCATCCCACTGCCCTCTGCAGCTTGGACCCCTCACTACTTGCCAATGCTTTTTTTTTTTTAATTTGCAGTTTTTTCATTTGGGGCCAAAAGTCCAATGAAATTGTAAGCATCAATAAAAGAATGAAACTCTGGAGTTTCATGTTTTCTACCATGACTTCTCAGCTACAGGTTCATCCATTCATCCATCCATTCACTTGTGTATTCTTTTATTCTATGAAGACTTAAGTACATACTATATACAAAGACATGTAGAAAGAAGCATCTCAGAGGGGACACGGCCTATTATTGGGCTTCTCTCATGTGCGAGGGTGAAGTTGAAGTGCAGGGTGGCTGGCCAGAGGGCCTGCCAGTTTCAGTTCAGGATGGCCAGGAGGTCAGTTCAAGAAGTTGACTGTGCTTCATAGCACTTTTAAGGCTGGCATTCTGGGCTGGAAAAAGCCATCCCAAACTTTTCACAGCATGGTCTTTTTATTTTCTCAGGCCCTAGTTTTATCTTTCAGACAAATTCCATATTAAGTCATAACTTTCCCCCCATTTTTATTAAGCACAGACATCTGTACTTGCCAGTCAGATCTTTAGATCAGCATGATACCCAGTCTACACTGAGTGTCTGTAATAAGCTGACAAAATTTCAATCAAAAGCCAAAGACACCAGACATTCTTGTTTGCCAGGGGGCTTTATCATGGGTAATGGTGTGATTATTATCCTTTGGCTTTTAAGATGAAGATAAGAGCTCTGAGGCCCTACGCAGGGCTCTCCTCCCTGCAGTGGGTGCTTGGAGGAAGTAGGTATGACTGCTCTGCAGGTCAGTGAGGCCCAGCAGGTGTCTAGGGCTCAGCCAGTTCAGCCCTGTTCTCTGGGCTGCTGTAGTGCTAGAATCCCAAAATTAATAGAATCCAGTTCCTAGAGGCCAGCCCCATCCAGAGCTAGAATCTCCTCCATGGCCCGCTGTGAGTCTGGCCTCAGCCCATTTCTTCCTCTGGTAGGAACTTCTTCCTGATGTGAATTCTAAATCTTGAAAACACTACCCACTGGCCCTGGCTTTCTTTCTTGGGCCATCCAGGATGTATGTCGCCCTATCTGCATGCCAGCCCTCTAGACAGTGGAGCCTGCGGATATATTCCCCCCAAATCCTCCCTTTGAATCTTTTTTTTTTTTTTT